AGAGATAAGTGGAAACAGCTTAGTGGTACAGTGGATAGAGCGCTGGGCCTAGAATCAGGGAAACCCAAGTTCAAATCCATCCTCAGATCCTTGTAGGTGTGACTCTGGGCAAGTCACTTAACCTGCCTAAGCTTTCTCATTTGTAAAATGGGGATAATAGCACCTACCTTCCAGAGTGGTCATGAGGATAAAATAAGATGTTTGTAAAGTGCTTTGCAATATATAAATGCATGATGGTGGTGGTAGTTAATAGTAGCAGTAGTAGTCATAGATATGAGGTAATTTGAGGAAAGAGAGAATTAGCTATTAATTAATAATTAATTGAGAGAGCATGGGGCAGGAGTCAGATGAGAGGTGATATGAAGAATATGTGCTTTCTGCAGAGGCTTAAGTTTTTCTAAGGCCAAGTTTCTTGCCTGTGGTCTGAAAAATTATCTTTTAAAAATATTTGGATAACTGTGTTTCAATATGATTGCTTTCTTTAAATGTATTTTATACATTTAAAATTATATTCTGGGGCAGCAAGGTGGCACCGCAATGGGTAGAGTACCAGTCTTGGAGCCAGGAGGACCTGAGTTCAAATTAGGCTTCTGACACTTACTGGCTGTGTGACCGTGGGCAAGTTACTTCACCCCGAATGCTTCCAGAACAAAACAAAAACTTTATTCTGAGAAGGGCTCCATAGGCTTCCCTGGACTCCCACAAAAAAGTGGAGAGCCCCTATTCTCTGCCCTCATTTCAAGCAGAGGCTGGCTGCCCTCTCATTGGAGAGAAGGGATTCTCCTCCAGGCCAGGTTGTAGGGCACCATGATGGCCAGAGGTCCCCGCCAGCTCTGACACCCTGGGTCTAGAGCAACCCCTGATGACAGACCCATCAAACACCCATGAGGGGAATTGGGGGTATTCAGAGCCCAGCTGAAACATCATGAAGGGCTCCCCTCCCATGACTCTCTCAAGCTGGCTCTCACGGTGCCTGCCACATAGTAGGAGCTTAACAAATATTGTTTGATAGACTGTCAGAATGTAAGCTCCTTGAGAGCAGGGACTCTTTGTTAAAGGGCTTGGCCCATAGTAGGAGCTTGATAAATACGGGTTGATAGATTAATTGTCAGAATGTAAGCTCCTTGAGGGCAGGGCCAAATTTTGTTTGTTTATTTGTCAAAGGGCCTGCCACATAGTAGGAGCTTAACAAATATGAGTTGATAGATTGATACAATGTCTGGATCTTAAGGGTGGGAACCATTTCATTTTTGTCTTTGTACCCACGGTGCCTGGCTTAACAAATGCTTGTGGATGAATGGGTTTCGGCTCTAGAGTCTGTGTGATGCTTCAGTAATGAATGGGCCTGGGATGTAGAAGCAGCTGCCATTAAATGAGAGGCAGTGTGGTGTACAGTAGGTAGAACTCCAGAACCTGAGTTCAAATCCTGCCATTATTTCTTTTGGCAAAGCCCTTCTCTCCTCCAGGCCTTCCTTTTCTCCTCTGTAAATAGGAAGGGTTAGACTAAATGGCCTCCGAGGACCGTTTCAGCTCCAAAGCTAGGATCCTAGAATCACTTCACCTCCCTTGGCCTGTTTCTTCAAATGTAAAATGAGGGGACTGGATTGGACGGCTTCTCTAACTCTGTGAGCCTGTGGCTAAGTCACTTAACTTTTCTGGGCCTCGGTTTCCTCCTTTGTAAAGTGAGAGGGTGGGATTTGATGGCTCCTGAGAACCCCCCCAAACCTGGATCTGTGCTCCTCTGAGCAGGAAGGCGGGTGGGCGGGCAGACCATAAGAGGGAAGAGCAGGGAAGCAGGGGAAGGCTCCCCCCACCAGGGCCTCAGCCCCCAGCCCCTGCCTCCCCTTGGTTTGCACCCCCTCCAGCCTGTTAAGTCAGTGGGCTCATCTTCCCTTGGGAAGGCATTGTCCGTGCTGGAGGATTGTGGGTCTGCAGGGCAGCAGCTCGGGCCCTGGGGCCAGGACCATCCTGGGCTTGGCTTAGGGACCTGGGAACAGGAGCAGGCTAAGAGCCGGGTGCTTTTATTTCCAGCACAAAAGACAGCCTTTGGGAAGCAGAGCTGCCTTCCTCTGCCCCAGTTGCCATTTTACCTTGGGCCAAAGAACACTTTTTTAAGCTTCTTTATAAAACATCGGAACTGTGTGTTCCTTACGTGTACTTGAAAGAAGCACAATGCATTTTTGGTCTTTTGCTTTAACCCAACAAACTCATTGATTTGGAGGGATTTTCACAGAATCTTGGACAGGGAAGAGATGTTGACAGCCCTCCATTACAAAAGATATCCGCACTTGAAATACCCTCCATAAACATCCATCCTGGGTGATGGATCTGGAACCTCAGATAGCCAACGCCCTCACTCGACAGGGGAGGAAACCGAGGCGCAGATTGAACTGACCTACCCGAGGCCACAAAGAGAAGGATTTGGACCCCTGTCCTCTGACTGCAAGCAGTTGCTGTTGACATCATTCTCCATTGGCCTCCCAACACATAGCCTTTGCTTGATGACCTCCATTAAAAAAAGAAAGGGCCCATCCTGCTCATTCCCCTCTCCCATGATCCTTCCTCTGTCCAGTCAGTGGTCCGCAGGCACGTAGCCCTGGACAGACCTAAGAATAATGGAAGTGGCAGAGACAGAGGTCGACACTGGACCCATTTCTCCTCCTTCTGTTTTCTAGCACAGTCCTATTGGCCACCCCTACTGAGGTGCAGGGAGGATCGTGAGAAAAGAAGTCCTGGTAGAGGGAGAAGGGGTACAGCCCTGCCTGCTTCACAGATGGAAAAACTGAGGTTCTGAGGCAGGGTTAGGGCTCTCCTCCCTCAGGTAGGACAGAAGGACTCGGGATTTTGAGTCAGGGTGATCCCTAACCTTTTTTGCTCTGAACATCTCTCTCTAACTGACTCCTTCTCCTTCAGCGTCTCATGATCATCCCAGCTTCTCTTCAGGGAGAGTGACAGTTATGCCACTGAAGTCTTGCTCTGTGTGCTGAGGGACTACATGGCCAAAGCAGAGAAGGCCGGAGAGCTCACATCTCAGCAGCCTACGGAAGCCGCCCCCATCTTTTTCCAGATGAGAAAACTTGAGACCCATAATAGGGGAAGGAAGTGACTTGCCTAGGGTCACACAGATAGATGGCAGGGCTGGGATTTGAACCCAGGTTCTCTGCCCTCTTCCTGTATACCCAGCAGCTGCTGTTATCGTTGGCCAAGAGGGGGACAGATGTGAGCAGCCCTGGCTCAGCCCACCCTTTCACTCCCACTTGTAAAGCCTCCTTAGCCTGCCTTGCTCCCCAGCCTCAGCAGTTCCACCGAGCTGGCCCTTGGGTGACCTGCCTATGGGCAAATGTGGACATTAATCCCACAAATTGAGCTTTCAGGATTAGCCATAGCCGGGCAGCCCCTCATCCCCTCTGGAGTGGCCTGCCAAGGCCCCAGCTTGGTCACTATGGCTACTGGAGCTGGGTTGCCCTGGGAACCAGAGCAGCCATGTTCAAGTTTCACAAGATGGTCCATGGCCAAGGATGGGGGGAGGGGTTGCTGAGCTGCAGCAGGTGGGAGATGGAAAGGCCAAGGGCTGTGGGAGGGGAGGGGGCAGCAGAGATTCCAAACTGCTAGGCAAGCAGGCCCCTACTCAAGACTGCATCTTCCTCTACTTACAAGATCTCTCAGGCCCTGCCCGATTTTACATTCTGGGGAATGTTGTCTGGAGTCAGGCAGGGAGAATTTATTAAGCACCTTCTGTATGCAGAGCCTCTTGGTACATACACCCCATGGGGGATATCAGTAGTGGAAGGGTGTTGCCTTGTAACACAGCAGATAGAGCCCTGAACTTGGATTCAGAAAGAGCTGGGTTCAGATTCAGCCTCAAACCTAATCAGATCAATAATGACTCTCAGCCTCAGTTTCTTCATCCCTAAAATGGGGATAATAATAGCATCTACATCATTAATCCTCCTGTTGTTGGGAGGATTAATTAGACAGTCATCTTAAAGCGCTTTGCAAACCTTAGAGCCCCGTGTCAATGCTAGCTGTGGTTATTAAAAACCCTGGGGTAGGGAGGGAGTCTCCACATTGCCCCTTAGCTCAGATGCCTCACTTGTTAACAGAAGATGGTTGAGCATGGTTGTAGGTAGCAAGGAAGGAGACAGGGAAAGATTGCACAGTAGTGAGAATGGGCGTGAGGTGGGTGGCCGTCTGCTAGAGGAGTCAAGAGGGGATAGGATTCCAGGTGCATGGAGAGGGGTCTGCCTTGGCTTCTTCATCCCATTCGGGAGCAAAAGTGGAGGAAGACGGCTGAGGGATCTCAGATGGGGGGGAGGGTGGGGAGCTCACGGTCCAAAGTCTCCTTTCTTTCTGTGAAGTACAAGGTCAGGTCTTCAGCTGAGAGGGTAAGAGAAAGGAAGAATACGATGGGAGGCTGAGGAGAGAAGACAAGGTTTGGAACAGCTGTTGTGGACAGTGGCATGGAGAATCCATTAGGGAAGAGGCAAAACCAATTGAGATTAAACATATTTATAATGGACTTCAGATGACTTTCTCTAGCTTCAATTAACAACACAGTGAATAGGAATAAAGCAAATGGCTAGGTTTTGTGATGGGCAGTAAAACAAGGGAACAAGAGAATCCAGAATGGAGGATACTGTAGCATCCACCTGGACTAGTCAGGGACATAGGTAAGGGAGAAGAAGTAGCCAGTGATGGGCTGATAGTCTGGGAGGGAGAGGGGAGGAAGAAATGGAGGTCAAGGGGAGGATGAAAGGAAACTGGAATGGTAACAGAGTATGATCAGATAGAGAAATGTCAGTTCATTATATAGAAGTCTAAACACTTACGGGTGTTAGCAAGATCTAGGAAGCGTATTACCATCTTTGTGTGTGGCCAAGGTGGGATGGAGGAGCAGGTCATGGGAAATGGATGGAAGGAGGAGCTAGGGAACCAGTCTTAGTTGAGTCCCCCAGGACTGGCTGCTGGGTGCTCATGGTCCGACCCTCCCTCCTTTACAGAGCTACCGTCCTCAGAGCAACTTAGTGTGGCCGACGCAACATGGCTAGCCCTGAATGTGGTGTCCGGTGGGGGAAGTTTCTCCAGTTCCCAGCCCATCGGGGTGACCAAGATCGCCAAGTCGGTGATTGCCCCACTGGCCGACCAGAATATCTCTGTGTTCATGCTTTCTACCTATCAGACGGACTTCATCTTGGTAAGGTGCACATTGGGGACATTCTCAGCACATCTGCCCTGGCCTAGGATTTGGCCATTTTAGCTGACCCCACCCCCTTTGAGGTCATTTTCCAACCCTTTCTCCCCTGTAGATACTCCCTTCTTTTTCTCAGTTACCATATAACCTGGGCCTATTCAGTGGCCTAGAATATAATCTGTCACATAGAAATAGATTTTTCCAGGCCTTTAACTATCATCCTCTGTTTCTGTTTTTCTTTTTGTTTTTAAAGCTAGAGCCTGGACGCCATTTTATTTGCATAGACTGAATAGGATTTGGATAGAAATTATGCAAGGTTTTTTGAAGACTGATTTAAACTGGTTCCACTGTATACCTTCCCTTTGGGGGCCCCCATTCCTTTCCCCACAGCCTGGCCCTGGAGAGTTCTCCTGCTTCTTTCCTCTATGCCCTCCTTTGCAGCAGCAGAGGGCTTTAGGGTTGAGTCCAGGAAGGAAGGAGCAGAGAAGCCTTCCTCACTTCCTTTCTCTCTGAAATGATAAAGCTATGAATTGCCTGAGCTAGGAAGAACCTTAGTGCCCCCCTATCCCTCTTAGTCTAGCCCGTCTCTCACACAGGTGAGGACATTTGAGTCCCGGGAAGAGAAGGGCTTTGACACGTCTTCCCTGACTCTTCCCAAATTCCCACTGTCTGTCCTCCCAGGTACGCGAGCGGGACCTGCCCTTTGTCACACACACCTTGGCGGCTGAATTCACCATACTTCGGGTCGTCAACGGGGAGACGTGGCAGCCGACAACCTGGGCATCACCAATGGCTTTGTGAAACCAAGATGGGTAAGAGGAGTGGCGTCACTGAGGTTCTGGGCAGAGGAGAGGGGCGTCTCAGCAAAAACAAGTCTGTCTCTTCCCTTCCCTTGCCTATGGACTTAGCCCATTCTGATGGACTTCCTATGTCCTGACCTCCCTGGGGAGCCTGCCTGTAGGTCTCCCCGACCAGCAGATCACCTCTGGGCAGACCCTGTCTGGCATTTTTTCTTCGGGGGAAGCCTTTAGTCCTTGGCTCACTCACTGGTCTTTCCATGTTTTCTGTTGTTCTCTTCCAGTTCAGAGGCCGGTCATTCACCCTCTCTCCAGCCCCAGTAACATGTTTTGTGTCACCAGCCTGGATCCTGACACACTCCCCACCGTGGCCACACTCCTGATGGACGTCATGTTTTACTCCAATGGGTAGGCCCTCGCCTCAGAGGGAGAAGGAAGCCAGCATGCCCACCTCGGGAAGGGAGGTCCTGGGAGTGCAGGGTGCCAGAGCTGCCCACTGGGGACTGCTGGTCACTTAGAGGACAGAGCTCTGGGTGCTGGGAAGGAAACAGGAAAGGGAGAGATTCAGCCCATGTTCTGATGCCCTCAGAGAGCCCCTGACGCGATAGGGAAGAGGGCACACAGCCTTCTCTGAATTATCCACACTCTTACAAGACAAACTGGCATAAATGGGGCCCCTAGAGGGCGCCATGGTGCACAGAGCACTGGACCTGGAGTTAGGAAGACTCCTTTTCATGAGTTCAAATCCAGCCTCCGACACTTACTAGTTGTGTGAGCCCGGGCAAGTCATTTCACCCTGTGTGCCTCGGTTTCCTCATCTGTAAAATGAACTGGAGAAGGAAATGCAAACCGCTGCAGAATCTTTGCCCAGGAAAACCCAAATGGGGTCGCAGAGTCAGACACACCTAAACAACGACAACAAATGGTTATTGAGTTTAAAATGGCGTAGTAAATAGTGGATAAATCCTAGCACACAGTAGGTGCTTAAGACATATTTGTCTATTTGGTCAAACGTAAATTTTGCTAGATTTTACTTGCGAATATTCTTTGGCATTTTTCCATTGACATTCTTAACCTGGTTTTGCCCGGCCCTATCAGTGCTTCGGAATCCCTAGGGGTGGGGGAGCATATCCTTCACTGACACAGATCGCAGTCCCTCCTCAGGCTTCCTAAGTTCCTCAGGACCCCCTGGGGATGAGCCTCCCCTTGCTTAGCTGGGATGGTCTGCAGATGCCAGGCGGACAGTCCACTGCTAGCCTTTCCACTGGGGGAGGACCTCCCTTTGAGAAGCCACCATCATGTCTCGGGCGTGATTGGACATCATTAGGCACCAATGTAGAGACAGACATTGGAGCGTGCTGAATAAATAACTCCGATAGCCTGAGAAGGGAGGCGGGCCAGCCCCTAGCCTGGGCATCTACCCTAGCCCTAACCATTTCTCCTTCTTGTTCTGGAGGTCAGAGAGTCTCCTACAAATACCTCTAAGAGTCTGGAAACCAAGAAATTCTTGGCTAAGTGCGTGCTCAGGCAGTGGCAGTGAATGAGCCACAGAGACACCAGGGAGTGATAATAATTCTACTTTGGGGGGGGTTGGTTTGGTCTAACCTATGGTTTCACCACGGTACGGATCTCCCAAGTGAGGAAATGCCTTCAACTAGTGTAGAACAGCACCTTACTTACTACTGACAGTCTTAGACAGAGGTGTCAAACCCAGAGCCTGTGAGCGACTCCCAAGTGGGCCCGAACCAGATTAAAATGTAATTGGGTGATAGTTAACAAAATAAAAATAGAATAAAACATAATGTTCTTGTGTGGTTGTCTAAGTCAATGTGCGACCCTCAGGCATCCTCATGGATTTTTTAGTGCCCCCCATTTTTATTAGACTTGGAGAGTATCCCGGGGCCTGGGAAGATTTAGTGATTTACATGAGGTCACAGACCCTTTATGTGCCAATCAAGACTTGAACCTAGGCAGGTTTTCCTGACTCAGAAGCAGGCTCTCTATCAACAAGGCTACACTGTTTCCTCATAATGAAGTTGATAATTAGAATCATTATTATGATAGCATAAAAAGCTCTCAAAATACGAATATCTAGCAGGAAAAAAAAATCAGAACCAGGTGGGACCAGGATGGCAAGCATCCCCATAATCCTCTCACTGGAGTTGGCCCAAGGATGATTCCCCAGGGCCTATAGAGAAGAGCTTCCAAAATTATGATAAATTGATAATTAAATATATATACTATATATGTTTTATATATATATATATATATATTTTTTTAAATTCCCCAGTACAGTAGTCCTCAGGACATCAAATGTAAGAACAGCTAAGTTATTTCTTGGGAGGCAGCTCTGCAGAGTGAATAGAGAAATGGCCTCAGAGCCAGGAAGACCTAAAAGATCTGGGTTCAAGTCTTACCTCAGGGCCTGTACCCCCCAGAGCAAGTCCCCTCACATCCCAGTACTCTGAACAACTCTCCAAGACCGTGAGGTGGAGAGAAGGTGCTGACTTATGTTAGGAGAAGGGGTTTCCTCATCTGGGAAATCCCTACACCAATAAAATCTCCAATGCTAACAGCACGGGAGCAGTTTGTCTCAGTTTCTGTCAGAATTCCATCAAAAAGTTGAAAAGCATGAAATAATAAAAATAACATACCTGCTAACTCATTCTGCACTTCTCATAATGTGTGAGCCTCCTGGATGAGGGCGATGGATATTGTCCCCATTTTACAGATAAGCAAACTGAGTCTCAGAGAGGCGAGATGGCTGCCAGGTTCAGACCGCCTTTTTATTGCGGAATCAGGACTAGGACCAGGGTTTCCCTCTGCCTCGCTGAATCTTGTTTCCTCCTCCTCACTTTTCCCCCATTTTGAGGCTGGGGGTGGTGCAGGAGTCTGGGGTCAGTGATCTGGCCGCTGTTGAGCAGTCTTTCTCCCCGGTGTCCCCAGAGTGAAGGAGGCCGTGGTAAGCAATGAGGACGGTGGCCACATCCGCTTCTTCTCCTTCTCCTTGATCGAAGGCTACATCTCCTTAGTGATGGACGTGCAGACTCAGCAGAGGTGAGGCCTGGGGCTTGGCGCGGGGATGGCAAGGGCCAGGGCCGCCCTACCACGTGTCCTCATGTTAGACCTTGCTACCATTAGCCTCCCAGAGCTGGGAGAGACCAGTCCTGAACATCAGATTTGCCGCATCTCGAGGGCCTGGTGGGTGGGATTTCACACCTCCTTCGTTCAGAGCTGCCTCGTGTCCTAGAACCTGGAGGGGTGATCGGTGCGGAGCAGGTGTCCCCGATGTCTCAGGCCCTTCCTAGGCAGCACCCTCCTCATCGGCTTAGTGCTCAGGGTCCTAGATTCTGAGCCATCATCTCCTCCAGCCCCCTCATTTCACAGAGAAGGAACCTGAGGCTGAGAGGCTGAGGGATCCATCGGGCCCTGTGACCAGCTCTGTCCCTGGTCTCCTTCCATTGTAACTCTAGAGCTGAAGCAAGCCTCGGGGAATTTGATGGCGGGGAGGGAAGAGACCAGGCTTCTGTCTTAACATTGTCCAAAAGTCCCCCCGCCATCTTCCCCTTTCCCGTCTGTCAGTTTGAATGTTGTGAGAGTGAAAGAAGACAGGAAGAAAAGGCAGATTTGAAAGCCATGAGGCCATTGAGGGATGCAGAGATAGACACCTGCTGTAAACAATCACTGGGGGTCACAGAGAAGAGGGGGAGGACAGAAAGCCCAGCCACGAGGGTGCTCACCTTGGCTAACGTGGGCCTTTGGTACGTGTCCCTTTCCAAGGTTCCCAAATAATCTGTTGTTCACGAGCGCATCTGGAGAGCTCTGGAAGATGGTGCGGATCGGAGGACAGCCCCTCGGCTTTGGTAAGTAGCTTCCTGAGGGCTAGGCACTGTGTGACGTAACGGCCTCAGTGTTCTCATCTGTAAAATGGGTATCGTAAGCAAAGGCGGTATTATCAGAGCTGAACCTTGAAGAGAGATTGGGAAGATTCTGAAAGGCAGGGATGATGAAGAATTGCCTTCCTGGGGCATAGGGATGGTTTAGTGTCTGTGTGACTTCTGGCAAGATCCCAATGTCCTCATCTGTAGATGGCGATGATAGTGAGGATAGCATTTATATGGTGCTTTAAAATTTGCAAAGCACTTTACAAACGTGATCTCACTAATCCCATTTTACAGATGAGGATAGTGAGGTAGTGGTGAAGTGATTCGGCCAGGGTCACGCAGCTAGTAAGTGTCTGGGGCCACATTTGAACTCGGGTCTTCCTGACCCCATCTCTGACTTTCTCCACCACACCACAAGTTACTAGCTGTCCCCTGAAGTCCCTTTCAGCCCACAGAGGAGTGAACACCAGTGCCCAGAGCTGAGGGACAAGGCACTTTCCTGGCTTTGGATCAGAGAGAGAGAAGGGACCTTAGAGGCCATCCGGGCCATTTTACAGAAGAGGAAACTGAGGCACCGGAACATCCTATGACTTGCTTACAGTCCCACAGGCAGGAAGTCAGAGAGAGCCAGGATTTGTTCCCGGGGCCTCGGACCCCGTTCTCCAGTGCACAAAGGGGATCTGGAGCGTGGACTGTCTTTGGAAGGCAGCAGAGTTGTCTGACTTGGCAGGAGGGAGGAAGGGAGGAAGGTGGAGAAATCAGCCTGGGAAGGTGCAGAGGGCCCAGATCACGGAAGGCTCAAAAATAGTGGGCTTTTGTGTTCTAGATGAATGTGGGATCGTCGCTCAGATCTCCGAGCCTTTGGCAGCCGCTGACATCCCTGCCTACTACATCAGTACTTTTAAGTTTGACCATGCATTGGTAAGTCTCCAGCCTGTTGGGTGAGGAGCGGCATGGGGGACCCCAAGGTGCTTACTCTGTTTCCCCTACCCCCCACAGGTACCAGAAGAAAACATCAAGGGTGTCATCAATGCCTTGAAAGTCAGTCAAGCAGAGAAGCATTAGACGCTCCCCGTCTTTCCCCTTCCCCCCTCACCCCGGCTCCCCATCCTCCCTCTGCTTCCATCCCCTGCCCTCACCCCCCAACATTCTTCTTGCAGTATTTCATAAACCAGAAAATGGTCTTTAGAGACCCCCACAGACAGAACCAGCAAGGAAGGGCTCTGAAGGAGTCCCCATCGCCCCGGGGCTGTGAGCGCCAAGGGCCAGTGTTGGGCCTGAAGTGAAGTGGGTTTTGTGTGTGTGTGTGTGTGTGTGTGTGTGTGTGTGTGTGTGTGTGTGTGTGTGTGTGTGTGTGCACGCGTGCGTATGTGCATGCATGCGTGTGTGTGTGTGAGAGAGAGCGCCAACAGCCGTCCTTGCTTCTCTGGAATTCAAAGCCACCATGGATGGGCGCAGACCCCCAACACTCCCACAGATGAAGCAAGCAAGGGGAGACGCGCCCGCCCCCAGCTCTTCCCCCTCCTCACCTCAGCGGAGACAGAAAGGCGGGGAGAAGTCGCCATCTCCCAAGAGGCTGCCGGTTGGCAACGGACGGTAGTCGGATGATGGGAGGGGACATTCTTTTCTCAGCCTGGTGTGAGACTGTGTCTGGGACCCCTCGGAATGCTCTCACCCAGCCCCTTCTTCAAGCCCGGGAGTCGTCTTCTTTCAGGCTTCTTGAGTTTTCGAGGGAATCAGTGGGAGGTGGCCAAGGCCAAGCCCCCCGGCCTCAGATCTTCTGATTTCCTCCTCCTATCACAGATGCCCAACCATTGGCACACCCCATTGCCCTGTTGCTTGGCCTCCGTCCCATCATCCCCAGGACCCCCAGATAGTTCATCTGGAGGCTGAAGGGAGAATGTCTCCTCAGCCTGCCCCAGGCTTTAGAAGGAGCCAGCCCTTTGCGGAGCGGGGGAGGTAGTGGATTCCCTTACGAGCCTTCTGAAGGTGGGGAGATCAGATTTCCCAGGGCCAGAAGGGAATATGGTTTTGTCCTCGCTAGTAACTTTGCCTAGATTCTCACCCCAGGACCTCCCTTCTGAACCCAGAGGGGGCAGGAGTGTGGGATGGTAGAAAAGGACCCTCCGCTGGGGTGATTTTAATCTCCCCACCACGATCCCTTTGGCCCTTCTGCTGCCCCTGGGTCACCTAGGCTGGGGGACTTCACTGAGACCCTCCAGGAAAATCGCCCTCTTCCCTCTCCCAGAGTTGTAAAACCACACAGCCAAAGGTACTTAGAACTGCTGGCCCAGCGGCCTTGGTCCTTCCAAGCCATCTGTAGCCTCCGCCACACAGGCAACGCTCCCCTCCAACCTCAGCCGCCTGTGTTTGGCCACAGGGGCTCCGCGTGCTGCGGACAGGAGGAGCTCACTGGCCTCATCGTCAGGTCCACAGACTGCTCCTAGAACTTTCCACCAATTGACCCTGTGGTCAGACCTGCCCCTTCCCCACCACCCCCTCCCATGCCTTCCCCAGAGAAATGTAGCCTACACAACAGGGAAGACCCCAATGCCCCCTCTTCCAGTAAAAGTAGCTGTCACACTCTCCTAGAGGATCCCCCTTGAGTGGCTTCAGCCTGTAAGACCCTAATAGTGATAGGGGCCTAGCAGCACTCAGGCTCTGCCCCACCCCCCCAAAAAAAATACAACAGATCTTGTCCATCTTTGGGGCAGGGGGTCTCATACCCTCTCAGGCCTTAGGTTTCATTGGGCCAAAGGCCTGTGCCCCCATTTACAACCACAGCCAGCAACTGTATCTGCCTAAGACTCATGTCTCCCCTTTGAAATGTCTGGGGGCCTCTCTGAGGCCCGCCCCTTATCCCAGAGCTGTATACCCAGCTCTGTAGAGGAAAGTGAAAAGCTGGTGCCTCCCTTTGCCCATCAGCCTCCCCCATGGTCCCTCACCCCGTGCCACGTGGCATTCATCAAGCAATTACTTGAACTCAGAGGCCACTTTAATGAGCCTTAATAGGAAGAGAAAATAATGACCTTGTTTTAGTTTCTTATTTAAAGTGTTTTTTGCACTCAGGCTGTTTAGTAAAGTTAATCTGGTGGCGTGGGAGGAGAAGGGGGAGCCCTTGTCAGTGAGGGCTGGGGTTGTAGAGGATCGCCCACCCCATTTCTCCCATTCACCCTCCATGCCCCTCAAATTCACACATCCGAGTGTCCTGAGCCACGCAGAGTCCAGGGTCAGCATGCTCACCTCGGGTGTGTGCATCCAGGCCTGGGTCTGAGCAGTGAGGGTGGGAGGGGAGACCAAAGAGAAGGCTGTGAACATGGTGGGGAGGATGGTTTCCATTGAATTGGGCCCACCCTCCTTGGGTCCATTATCAGAACAGCAGATCTGTCCTCAAGGACGCAGCTTTCTGCTCTGGTTTCCATCCAGAAGATGGATGAAACAGCTTACCCAGACCACCAAAGGGGAATGCAGAGCATTCTGAGCAGGGTCCCGTGACCGCCATCATTCCTGGCCTCCACAGCTCCTTCCCCTATGCCCTTCTTGCCAAGGTCAGTCGAGTTGCACTGTTTCTCAGAAACGTGATGAAGTCCCTTTTTCCCTGATTCATTTTTTCCAGGGGGTTGAGGAGAGGGGCCGAGTGAGCTCCCTCCCCCAGCATACACTCACACCCCATTCTTATCCTGACCTTGCTGGAGGGAGCTTGTCTGGGCCCCTGTTTGTGAGGAATGGAGAGGATAGTGGACAGAGGGAGGGTGGGGGTGTGGAGCTATCCATCGGGATCCATTTTGATTCATCTCAGCATGGAAGCCTCCCCTCCCCCTTTTAAAAAATTATCGTCTTTGATTTTGCACAAAACTCTGAAATAACCAAAAGTTGTCAGTTCCTTGCTGATCCCTAGAGGGGCAGGTGTCAGAGAAACGACGGACGGCAAGCCACAGCTGTCTGGTCCCTCAGATGCCTGGGTCAGCCCAAATCCTCCCCCACCCCTCCTTTTCCTTTGACTTCCCCACGCATCCCTCCCTACTGTGTGGCGCGAGTCTGTGCGTCCATCTGTCCAAACCCTCAGAATGCTTTGTGTTCACCCGGACATGACCCTGTTGGACACACATATAAATACCTGTGTTTTATGTTGATAGAGATATATATATATATATATATATATATATATATATATGCTGTAAATAGCGTATATACCTGAGCAATATATATATATGTTAATATATACTGTGAGTGTGTGAGTGCGTCCACGCATGTGCGGACACATCCCAGTTGGAGAGGCACGGGAGTGCCCGTGGGGTGCTGCGACCGTGGCATCTGTCTCCTGGTCCATGTGCTGGGCATGTGCGGCACGGCTACGCACACACATAGTCACCATATATTTTTAATTCAGATATATGGGCAATACAACTATTTAGATAAGCCGTACGGATTTTCCGAACCTGATGTCCAACAACCAGCAGCCACAGTTCACCTGGGGTCAGAGTCGGGGCCGGAAGCCCCAGGACGCGAAGCTCGAGCCGGTCTCTGACCTCATCTGTTTTGTCCTGTAGCCAGTGGGCTCGCCGCCCTGCCCTCTCCCGCCATGGCCTCCCTGGTCAGTCGTGACAGAATCCAGACCAGATTCTGGTCACTGTAGCCTGGTTTGCTTGCTTTGGGGGCATGGGAGGGGCACTCTTTCGGTTTGGCTTTTCGTGACGTAGCTGCTCCACTATGCTCCCCTATTGGGTTGGTGGGCCCCCGGGATGGGGTGTCCTTCAGCCTGTTATAGTGGTCATCTTTGCTGTGGCGAGGAAGCGTTTTCCCTTAAGGGTGGGAACAGGGTGGGCGTTCCTTCCTCTGTCTCCCAAGAATTGCCCTTGGCATTTGACCTAAGGAAGGTTTTCCTCCATTTTCTTTTTTAATATTCTTGTTGTTAGACTAGTCCTTTTCAGGAGAGGATACCTTTGATGGACTGTCAGCAGGGGCACAGGTAGGGCAGCCGGGGCCTGGCCTGGACTTCAGCTCTCAGACCCTGAATCCGGATTTGGGGTGGGCGCTGTCCAAGCCCATAACTGCTGACGAGTGTTGGAGTCTCATCCTGACACCCTAGAGTCCAAGGAGACATTGGGTGCTTTATTTTGCCTGCTTGAAAAGGGTGCTGTGGTTTGGGGTTGTTTTGGGGGGAGGGGGGTTGTGAGTGTGTATGAATCATGTAGCTTCTAAGTAGTTTGACCTTTGTTGTTCTTCCAGACAAGATGTGACTTAGTAGCCCTTGTCTGCTGCCTCTACTGGCCATCTGGCCACATCCTCACTCTCTGGGGGCCTCCCAGAGGCCAGATCCCGCCTGCTCTAAGAGGAAATGGGGAATGGGGGCATTTTCTGTTTTTTTGTTGTTGTTATCAGAGGGCCTGATTTAGGCAGGGCATTTCCATTTCCACTGTTTCTCATGCATCAGCTCAGTCATCTCCCTCCTCCACTCTTCCTCCTCCTCCTCCTCATCTTTTGGCCAGCCCCTCCAAAGGGCATGGATGATGCAATCCTGGACAGTATTTATTCTCACCAAGAACCCCAGCAGATTCAAAACTTGCCCAGGGAAAGGAGGGGTGGTGGGCCAGGGTGGCCCAAACAGAATGAGGAAAGCCCCCTGGGCATCCTGCCATGGCCCCAGCCTGACAGAAGAGTGTGTGCACATGTGTGACCACGTGTATTCGTGTGTCTCCTTCCTCTGGCCATCTGAATGACCAGAGAGGATGCCAGCACAGCTGCCCTCACGAGCTCTGTGCATTGGGAATGAGGAAGACCAGGCCAGCGCAGGGGTATGGATTGGTGGTGGGAACTGCCTCTTGTGATTGGGGTTTGGAGTCTTGCCCTGTTCCCTCTGCCCCCTCCCCAGTCCCCCAGCCCCCAAAGCATCCTGCCCTCAAAATAAATGTCCCTTTTAGGGCTGCACACATTTCTACCTCCTTAGCTTCTCTCATCACTCAACTCCATGGCACTTGGTGCCATTCAAGGGTCACCAGAGCCCTCCAGGAAGCTGAAGTCCTCTGGACTCCCATGGGAGTCCATCCCAGTTCTTTAGCTTGAATGGTGGAGGAGCTCCTGGTTACCTGAGTCCTTCCCTAGCATCAGAAGGACCCTTGGAGAGAGTGAGTAGGAGTGGGTGGGATCATCTCTGAGAACGTGGTCACATTTACACCCCCTTCCCCTCGTGTTGGACAGGGTGGAGGAACAGCCCTGAGATAGTTAATGACCAGAGAGAACCCTCCAGCCCTAGAAGGTAGTGGAAGTCTACAAGGCCCTAGGCCAAGATGGGAAATGCTCAGAGCAGGGAGCTGTTGGAAGAGGCCAGTGATCTGGAGAAGTTGTGCTGGGTTTTTTAAACAAGCAACTACAAATAGGGATACTCTCAGTAGCTGCTCTGCCCTAAGTGGATGGGTGGGTTTCCCAAAAGAGCTTTTTCCTCGAGTCTCCAGAGAAGAAAAGGAAGAAGTTAATGGAGCAGGGTCTTTTGAAGGGCTAGAACAGGGTTCCATAAAGTTGGTTAATGCTTACCTATTTGTCTTAAATGTAGGAAACTCTTGAGCCCCTAGTGGACCACTGACCTGGTATCTTTACCTGTCTTCTTCTGGAATAGGGCTGGTTACAAAGGGCAGTGTTAGGCTACTACCCTTCCCAACAGATAGGAGAGAACAGTCCTTGTCCTGCTGAACCACCAAAACGCTTGTGTTTCTGGGGTGAGGCGTGAGAAAAGAGACCAGTGGGGCTGAGCCAGGCCAGATCTCCCAAAAGAAAGAACTTGACCACCCCGAGTGTTGAAAATCTTAAGTAAGTTCAAGATTTTTGCTTTTTTTAATGCTCTATCTGTTAGTTTTCCTGGATTGTTTTGGTTTTTTTACCCTCACTTCCTTCAATAAGCTGCTAAAACATATCTGTTTTAATGCAGCCTTCTTGTAATTGAGATTACCTGCTAGATTGTCAGTTCCCTTAATGCCATGCCAAAGGCTAAATCTCCTGGTCTCAGAAAGACCCTTGTGCATAGTGGTCCCCCCCCTTTCCCCCAGACAGAGCTTCTGGGACATTCTGTGATCTGGTGACTCTTCAGCTCCCTGTCCTCGTTCTTTCCACCTACTTTCTTTGAGGAAGGGAGAAGGTAGGAAAAAGCTTCTGAGCATGGCCTTCCAGCTGGAGCTGGAAATGCACTACCGACTATGCACCCATTCTGTAGATTTGGATATTAGGATTACATTAGTCAAGCTTCCATCCAGTAGAGGAAGAGGTAACTCGCCTTTCACAGTGCCACCAAGCAGGGGGATCACCAATTCCTGGGAACAGGAAGGCCCCAAGGAAAGGAAGTAGGCTTGGCAAGCTGCTTTGTTCATTGACCCCTTTTTGTGGCCTCTTTAAAAAATATGAGTGCCTGGGAAAGGACCATTTTTACCTTGAGGATGGATACCATTCAGCAGTTTGACTCGAAAGTAGATAAAACAGAGGGCTGTCTTTCTGAGTAGCTAACGGCAACCTAAAGGTGACCTGATTGGCTGGGCGGCACATGGTATTTGGTGGGAGGAGATCTTTTCCCAACCCAAGGGGAATTCTAGCAAGAAATTAAGACCATAAGTGTTATCATTTTTCAGAAAGTGTTTCTTTGAGGTACTGGATTGGGAGCAGAAGAAAAGAGGTCAAAGCTGGAGAAGGCCCATGATTGGCTGCCATCTTGCGCCACACCAGGATCTAGCTTGATAACCATTTGAAATGTTGCCCCCTGTCCGCCTCCCCTTTCCTCCCCTTTCTTCCAGACACTGGACAAAATAGCTTCTGCGAAGGGGGTTGTTTTCCAAGGGAACGAGTGATGTCTTGTGCTGTGGTCTGTGTGTGGGTGTGAGCATTTATTTCTGTTGTTGGCGGGCTGGGCCTGCCTCTTTCCCTGCTTGACCTCAGCTCCTTCTCATGCAGAAGCCAATCTCAAGTCCGGATTATCCCCATCTCTCTAATGATCCTTAAGTTAATAACAGCAAAAAGGCGAATGTCTCTCTCCTTCCACCTTCCCAGGGAATCTTACTGAGTGGAGCCATTGAGTCAGCCTTCGGCCCATTTCCCATTTATGTATATTTTTGGATGTGAGATGGCAGCACGTTCTATTGTTGTCCTTCAGAGTGATGTCAGTGACTATGGGCCACTGGGAAGGGGTTCTGTGGTAGGCAGAGGCAGTGGGCACAGAAGTTCTTGGGATGTTGCTTTGGGATGCCCTATTGGACCCTAGAATCCTCTGGGGGTCAGGAAGGCATGGGGCAGTCCAAGCTCAAGAATGAGGGATCACTCTCCAGCCAAGTGTCTATAGTGAGACTATGATATGTGATGGGTAGGAAGTTACAGGGGCAAGGAGGAGGGAAGAGCGTGCACTGAACACGATCATTTAGTGGCCCTGTTGAACACCAAGCCAAGGCCCTCTATGCTTTTCCACCCTCCAGGAGCTGGTTTCCCTAAACAGGCCTACCCAATTTCCATGGCTTCTAGAATGTTTAACATCAGGCCAGAAGCAGTGCGAGGGTTAAGAGCTCATACCTGAGACAGCCCAAGTCCTACATTGAGGTCCTAGGGAGATGGTCGACTTGGCGGACTGTCTAGAATGCCATGGTTCCATCGTACTGGGGGTAAAGTTCCAAGACCAGCTGGAAAGGCTGTGCGGGTCAGGTGCTTAGGTCTTTTCTCCGCATGGGAGATGGTGGGGATTGATGGCTATCAGAAAATACCTTGGTTGACAGATGGACTGAGAACTCTTTGATTAGAGGGCAGGAAAATTGGTCCTCTTAAAAACGTAGTACGATGGCAGAGGGAAAGAAGAGGCAAAATCTGCCCTCTTGGAATGGGAGGGTTGGAGAGGGTCCTCTTGGGAACATTTGCCTTCTGGGAATGGCCAAAATGATGGTTTCCTATCGGGATGGGTATGTGTGGGTGTGTGGGGGTGTGTACGTGCACACGCGTGCACTGGTAGGGAATGAGTGTGGGTGGGTGGGTGAAGGTATCTGGATGGATGTGTTCGTGTGTGAAGGTACCCAGTCCATTCAGTATTGAGGGATAGACCTCCTGGCTCGATGTTTGCTTATAGGTGCAGTTTACAGAGTGAGTGGCCAGTGATGTCACAGCATCCCTCTGCCCTCGGGCTCAGAGGGCACCCCACTGGAGTCTGTAAGCCCCCTACCTTGTCTGCCCACTGCTTGTGGGATGCTCTGCATGTTGTGCATGGGCGTGTGCACCCCTTCTACCTCTGTGAGGGATGCACGTAGTTCTGTTTGTTTTTTTTCCAAATAAGTACTGTAGCAGGGCCAGAAAGGACACGTGAGGGGGACAGAAAGGAAGGGATCGCTGAATGTCCTTAGGAGCATCAGCCCCGGCTGGTGGCGTTACCTCATCCCTCTTTCAGAAGCCCCTTTTCAGAGCCTGGGGGCTGTCGTGACTTTGAGCCCGTGGAAAATGGGACACTCTCTGTCCCCTGCTCCAAGTATGGTGCCTGCCCACCCCCTAAACCCATCCCTGCCACCACCCACGTGGAGAGCACTGACCTCTTCAAGACTTCCATCCCATCCTCCATCCCCAAACCAGGTAAAAGACCTCAGCTTCTTCTGGTGGCTCAAGCCAGTGAGGAGGGGGAAGGGGAGAACTTTCTGGAGCTTCTGCTCTGGGGGAGAGGGAGCAGCCGATCGCCCTCTTTTGTGATGTCATCTGGCATGGATGAAAGCGCAATCGAGGGCCAGTTGTAACCTAGTCGGCCTCCTTAACTCCCCTTGGGCCCCAGGAGAGCTGCTCTCCCATCCCTTCCCCGAGGCCACCATCACCCTCCCCATCACTCCCTGTTCTGGAATGCTGTCGAGCCATGCTGTAGGCGTAACCCCAGTGGAACCTGGGAGACAGGCATGTCCTAGAGCCCAGAGGGGGAATCAGGTATTTGGGGAAGCTGCTCAGTGGAGGGCAATGATGGTGTAAATTTTTTTGGAGAGCCCTCAGGAGGGCTGGAGGGATTCACAAACTGCTGCTGCCACCACAACCAGAACGAGAAACCCTTTTCATGACCCTGAAGTGATGGCAAGGCAGGGGTGAGGGGCAGGAGAGCTCATGACTGTTGGGTGGCAGCTCTCTCTGTTCTCCGGCTGGTGTCCCATCCATCCCCGCCCCCATCCCCCCTTCCTAGCTCTTTTATGTGCTGTTCCCCCCCTCTTTCTGAAGATGCCAGCCCAGAGCACTTGGCTAGGACCATCCCTGAGTCACCCAACAGCCACACCACCAGCATCAGCCACTCTGGAGCACCTTGGCCTTGTGGTCGGGATGGACGGGAAGATGGTGGGGCGAAGAGGTGGGGGGAAGAAGTCACGAGGCTGCTTCGGGGCTCCCTCTCCTCCCTCCAGGGTCCTCCCATTTCTTTGGGGGTCTTGGGCAGAAGAGAAACAAAAATCCTGGAGATTCACGTACTGTACAAGGGAGAGAGAAAGAGGAAAAAAATACCTAATGTCCCCAAACAAATGACAGTATATTTTGTACTTTGTAAAGTGTTAATTAAAACAGAGAAAAAAAAAGTTAACCGAACACCGTCTGCTTTTGTACTGATCAAATCGATTAAAATAAAGCAAGGTGTGGCAGTGTCTTGCAGAGATATATCCCTGTTACCTCTTTCCCCTGCCTGCTCTCCAGACCCACCCCCCTCAGACGAGGAAATGAATCGATGCGCTGGGAGATCCAGAATCAATCGGAGGTCTGGAGCAAGAAGGAACTTCAGAGCCCCTGCAGTTCAACTCATGTTATAGATGGGGAAACTGAGGCCCAGAGAGCGAAGTGACATGCCCAGGGTCACAGAGCCAGTTAGCAGCAGAGTCGGGACCCATGTCCCACCTGCTCCAATGGGCTTTCTGGGACTTGGAATCCAAGGGAAGGAAGAAGAGGTCCCTGAATTATTCCTGCCTCGGGCTTCATCCCACCATGCCCCTGGGGGTTAGCTAGCCAAGATTTCAAAAGTCATCCAGGCCGGCCCCCTTGCTTATATAAAATGGAAAAATTGAGGTCCAGAATGCTTTGTCCAAGGTCATTCAAGTAGTAAGTGGCAAAAGCAGGATTTGAACCCAGGTCCACTGTGCCCAGAGCCCTCCTACCTGTATAAGAAAACAATCTTTAGCCTGTATTTTTTCTGGGAGGAAGTTCAAGTTTACTGTCTATTATATGCATACCAACGCAGTGAGGAAAGTCCCGCCAGGACAGACTGACACAGGGTCAGCCTGGGACACTGAAGGGTTAAGTGACTTGTTCAAGGTCACACGGCCAGCGTGTGTGTCAGAGCAGCCCCTCTGGCGATACAGGCACAAATACGGCTTTAAGGTCGATGACAACCCTGCCATATGATTTGTCATTTGGGCCTCACAGCAGACCGGGAGGGTCAGCACCCCAAATATTAAACTCAACAGACTTTAAGCTTAGTAGCAGGCACTCCATCCAAGGCCCTGTACTTGGTGCTATGCCCGTTTTTATCAATAAGAAAAGGGGTTTGGGGCAGCTAGGTGGCGCAGTGGAGAGAGCCCTGGCCCTGGATTCAGGAGGACCTGAGTTCAAATGCAGCCTCAGACACACAACACTTACTAGCTGTGTGACCCTGGGCAAGTCACTTAGCCCCATTGCCTAACACCAAAAAATAAGAAGAAAAATAAGAAAAGGGGCTCAGAGTTCAGCCTCCCTTTTGATTACAAACCTACATCACGCTCCCTGTGAGATGAAGACTTAAGGTCTTACTGACCCTCTAGCCGCCTCCCTTAGATTCTGGGGCCCCCTTTGTTCTGTCAGATCCAAATTCTCAAATCAACAAGACTTTTGGGATGCCCAGTGCTAATACTCTGGGGGGGGGGTCCTCAAAATTTAAGAGCGTAAAAGGGTCCTGTGAGCAAAAAACTCGAGAAGCTCTGGTCTGGAGGAAGCAGGGGAAGTAGACCCTGAAAAGACAGGTTGGGGCCAGACTTTTGAAGACCAGGCCAAGGCGTCTGGTCATCCTCAAGGGAGTGGAGAGCCCTTTCTCAGGGGAGTATGACCTCGTCGAAGAAGACAAGCTAAGCTTCAAGTGCAGGATGGTGTGGAGAGGGAGGCGAGGAGGTCAGCCACAAGGCAGGAGCAATGAGGACAGGGCGAGACTGGGAACCCCAGGGATCTGATGACAGAGGAAATGACTGCCCAAGGCCTCTTCAGATAAGATGAGAAAATCTCAGTGAGGGCTTTTTGGTGGGCCTTCCCCTTCCTGGACAGTCAAGAAATCAGAATGATGGAGCTGGACAGGTCCAAATGGCATGCCGGAGGCCACACAGCCAGCAAGCATCTGGTGTCTCCCTTAGGGCTGGCCGTGGTTCAAACTAGCCTTGTCCCATTTCGGAGCGGTCACTAGATGTCATGGGGCCAGAGTCCTATGTTTTCCCATGCATCATTCCCCAGCTATGAGGCAGCTCTCCAAGCGATGATTTCAAAAGCTGGGTGGTTTCTATGCCTTTTCATCCCTTCTCTTGTCCTCAGCTCTGTTGACTTGCTAGCCCTTCGTCAGGGGTGTCAAACTAGAGGCTCCCGCTGGAGTAGGACAGAATCAGATTAAAATGCAATTGGGAAATATGTAACAAAACAAAAATACAATAGGACACAGATAATGTTAGTATGTGGTTTTCTGAGTCAATATTCAGCCCACAGGGTGCCTTACCTGAGTGAGCTTTACAGAGGAGGTAAATTATCAAGGTTAGAGGCAGGAGGAGGAAATGGGATTGGAATAGGTTAACAGTCTAGAATCCAACTATATAGAGTGAAGAAGGCAGAACTGGAAGGATATAGGGATGACTTCTGACTCTGAATCCAGGGTCTTTTCCACAGTACCATGCTGCCCATTAAACTCTCTCTGGGCTCCCTTTCCCAGCTCACAAGGCCACTGGTCAACTGGGCCCTGGCTATTACTATTCCCAGGATTCTAGGGGGAAGCCCTCTGGGCGACTGTCCTTTAAGACATTATCTCATTAGCCCCAATCAGTGTGCCTTCCCTTCACAGCCAGCCAGTAGAATCAGATCTTTAGTAAAAGCATTTACTCAGACGGCACTACAATAATTACAAATCATTCCCCCCCCACACAGCCCTTCAATAGTAGGGATACACTGCCACAAATAAACCCAGAGTCCAGGAGGAAGAATGAGTGGCCTGAGGCACATGTGTGGGGAACATGACTGGCAAAATTTTTCTATCCTTCAGAATTCCTCTATACCCATTTAAATGGTGGAGGGGTTCTCAACCCTTTCTGGGGTGTCATAGACCCTCCCTTTAGCAGTCTAGTAAAGCCAAGGAGTACTGCCATCTCAAAATGTCTTTAAGTGCTTAAAATAAAATACACAGTATTACAAAGGAAAACAATTATAGTGAAATTTGGTTATTCCAAGTTCACAGACTTTCACAATCTCTGCTCTAAATGAAGGCAGAGGCAAAGACTTTGATGCCCTCATCTCCTGTGTCCTGTCCCCCTCATCCCACCCCACTCCCCTAATCAGGCTTTTGTGGCAGCTTCTAGATGGAACAGGACCGAGGTTGCCAACCGATCTGGGTGTTTCTGCATCTTTTTTCTACACTGTTAATTGGACTTACTGTGGGAATGCTTCCACAAATCACCCAAGAGACCACAGGCTGCTGACCAGGCTAGAGAGAAATTGATTATGATTGGCATGAGTGGAAACGCCCACATAACCCAGGCAGTATCGAGCACATTTCACGAGGTTTTAACTCAGACACTGATCATTTCACCAATGGAAACTTGTAGCCGAAAGACACATGGTGGCTTCTTTTTTTTCACCACAAAAATTAAAGTGGGTCAAGGGAGCAGACTGACTTCTACCTAAGCAATGATTGAAAAAACAAAAATATAAAGAAAAAACATGTCGGAGGTTTTGGATACTTTTGAGATGGTGTAATGTGGTGTAATGACCCTTTGAGAGTCAAAGAGCACAGAAAGTCATCAGTGAACATTTATTAAGCACCTGCTATGTGCTGGGCATTGTGCTAAGTGCTGTGGATAGAAACACAAATAGAAACAATGATAGTTCCTGCCCGCAGGAAGCTTACAATCTAATGAAGTGAACACACACAACACAAGCAGAAGCTGAAAAGGGGGTAAGAGGAAGAAAGGGGGCAGGGGAGAAGGTGCCCAGCACAGGCACATGATAGAGAGGTCCAAAGAAGCCCCAAACCAAGGTAGCTGGTGGTAGCTGGAGGCCCCTTAAAGGGAGGCCATGAAGCCCATGGCCCTCCCTCCAGCCAGAGCTGGACAAAATGAAGGATCGGCCAGCTCTGCCCTTGGCTGCTTGGGTAAACCTGGGCAGGTCATTAAACTTCCCCGGTCTCAGTTTCCTTATCTGTAAGACTAGATAGCCCTGCTCCAAACCCCAAGGTCCTGGCCCAAATGAGGAAACACAACACAAAATCGTACAGCTGCTTGGAGAAATTGCAAGTTCATGGGTGTCCAGAAGATACCAGCAGATTCTTCGGATCTCCGGTGCCCCGCACAGAGTAGGTGCTTAATAAATGCCTACAGATAGGCAGTAAGCTCCTCGAGGTCACAGCATGGTTCCCTTTTTGTCTAACCATTGCCCGGCATACCTGGTATTCAGTAGCACTGAATAAATGCTCGTTCATGGATAGAACATACACTCCCTGATGGCCCCCACCAGTCCCTTTTCATCTGCCTACCTCCAGGGCTGATGGATGGGTCAACTTGTGGCTAGAACCCTTGCGCCTCCCACAGTCCCGCCCAGCCCGTGGCTGCTGGTGGCAGCTTGGAACACACTGGAATCCCGACTGCCTGCACCTCTACCAGCTCAGGGCCTCGCAGGACAAAGGAGGAAGAGGACATGCGGGTTTTGGTGAGTTTCCCACTTCAGGCCACACTCTGCAGTGGGAACACACAGAGGCCCTAGCGATGAGGTGCCTGATCGCACATGGCATAGTGGTGATGACCCTGTTAACAAATCGACAGGAGAGCCTGCTGGCCAGAGAGCGGGGGCTCCCGAATTGGCATCATTCTCTTTCCTGCTATTAACCTTTGCCAGGGTTACACCTCAGGCCTTCTCAGAAGGCCATTATTCAGCTCGGTGGATTGAATTGTAAAATGTTTTTCATTCTCTTTCAAATGTGTGCCTCTATTTCTAGGATTTAACATTTCATGGCCAATTTCCAAATGGCCAGGTGAATTAAAGGTGCTCTCTGCTGGTAGGGAGAATTCCAGTCCCTGTGTCCCAGTGAGCATTTCTTCTTTTCCTGTAAGCAACTAACAGAAAACACATTTTGCTTTATTTGAAAGTGAATAAAAGAAAGGGCTTCTTTACAGGCACATTCAGTGAAATTCTTTCCAAAAAGTCACTTCTGGGTTGATTTTTCTCCTCCAGGGCAAGGCTGACTACACTTGAAACCTTTGGCCCAACGGGATTTGGTGGGCTCATGCCCCCGCTCCCCAGCATTGGAATAGAGGTGGTTGTCCTCCTGGGGGGCCACTTAACTGGGCTCCCAAGAGCAGTATCAAGAGCCAGCTTCCCCTTCAGAGCCCTGTCTGTGATTCTGTGACGTTCCCAACAGACAGTAGGGTCTGAAGCACTCTCGCACTCTCTCTCTGTCTCTCTCCCTCTCCCTTTCTCTGCAGGATAAGGCAGCACAGGAGGGGTCCAGGCTGGCCACCCAGAGCTAGGTCTGGACTGGCCCTAGGGATGCCAGGTCAGACACAATTAAGTAAAAGCCGAGGACAGTGCGGCTCTGGCACCCCAAACCCATCAGCAGGGGCCGTGGAAACCCCAAGTCAACCATGAATTCTGCTGGGTCATCTCTTACTGATCAAACACACTCTGAAGGTCCAAAGGCCGCGCCTTCCCCACCCCTGGCCAGTTTCTGCTCGGCTGGCCAGCGGCTGCTCCCAGAGAAAGCTGTCATTTTATTTGTTTGATAAGATAACATATGAATGGGGAGAGCAGGCACCAGGGCCCTGCTCCCTCTCCATCCCCGCAGGGTTCTTGTGGGCGCTGTGGCCAGGGAGGGACGCACAAAGCCCAGACTGGGGGTCTGGACTTACGGCCCTCAGCATGGAAGGGGCTAGCCGTAAATGCGACCCTGAGAGAAAGGAAGGTGGGGGCTGTGTCCTCGCCCCCACCACAACTACACACACACACACACACACACACACACACACACACACACACACACACACACACGACTAACAGACCCTGGCCAGAAGGATTCCCCTGCTGAGGGTCTAGTCATTGGCTGGCAGCACAGAGGCAAATGGCTCAAATGTTCCAGGGGCCCAAACCCAACGAGTCCAACTGACAAGCTGATGGGACGGGGCCAAGAAGGCAGAAGCTCAAGCAGTGTCCGAGAGAAGCGCGGCCAGGGGAGGCGGCAGGCTTAGATGAACGACTTAGCCAGAGTCACCATGTGGTCCACCCCACAGGCCACTTGTACTGGCTCCCCCGGCATCGTCACCTAGAAAACAAGGCCCAAAGTGGGGCTGAGGCGGGCTCGGAAATGAGCCCTGAAAGGGCTCTTGAGCTCATCTCACCCTCCACCCCCCACCCATTTTACTGAGGATAAAAGGGACATCCAGAGAAGCAATCTGCCCACAGAGTCACAAACGGGGCACAGCCCAGACTTGAACCTGGGTCTTGTGACAACTTATTCAGGACTCCCGGCACAGCTCCACCCTGCCCTGTCCCCCCAGAACCACTAAGCTAAGCTATTACGAACAAGACAAGATATAAAAGGGCCAGGCTCTAAGCTGTGAGCCTGTGTTTGCTTTTTATGGGATCTCTACACAGCCCCCCACCCCAAAGCACAGGCTCCCCACTCATGCTAACAAAGCTCCCTACCCCCCAGGACCATCGTCACAGCAAACTTGCAAAACCCTCAATCAGCCTCAGTATGGACGAGTCACCCTCTCAACTCTGGCCCCTGGGTCCCCTCCCCTGGGATGAGGTGACTTCTGGCTCCCCCCAGCACAGGATCTGCCCCCAGGAATGGCTCATCTGAGCAAGCTCGTGAGTTCCCAGGTCCCCCCTCCCCAAAGCAGCCCCCAGCCTACTTCGGAAACTGAACCTTCCAACGCTCTGGCCTACCCTAATCAGGGCCAGGCTCGACAGAGGGCCACCATCTTGCCAAGAGGATGCTTTTAACAAATGGAAACACAGTCCAGGCCCAAAGCATCTCACCCCAAGTGCCAGCTCTCATTCTATTTGACTCCGGGCTTCAAACAGCTAATGCAGGGATTTTCAGCATTTTACAGAAATGCTGAAGCTTTGCTGGGCTGGGGGGAAAACCTATGACTCATGATGGCCAGGGGCCAATCTCCCGGGTGTAGCAGGCTCAGACACAGTTCCTTTTACCTCTAGAGCCCTGTTCATTAACACCCTGAAAGCCTGGCCAAAGGCAGGGTCACCTCCACATCAGTCCATCACTCCCAAAGGGCAGCCTTAGCTATGAGCTCATCAGTGAGTGTGATAAATGAAGGGAGGCCCTTCTAAAAGCCCCTTGCTTGGGCAAAGCAGCTCTGGGTTCACCGGAGATCTGCCAGGCCAAAGTTCCACACATTTTCTATTCCTCTAACAAAGCCTGAACCGAGGTCACCCTAAGCTGGTTTTGTTTCCCCCGACAGCAAGGTCCAAAGGAACTTCTCTCCTAAACTAAGCTTTACTGAAAAGATAAACAACTCAGACAACAAACTCCCAACCAGCCTGTGTGTGGCCGATGTAAAAGGCTGGGCAGAATGGGCGAGGCTGCGCCCTGCTTTACAATTACCTGGAATGACAAAGACAAATTCCTGACTGGGGAGCAGCTCCATCCTGAAGAGCTGGAGCCCGGGCACTGAGGGAGAATTCCAATCTTGGGCCCAGGCACCCCTCGCCATAGGGACCCCCACTCAGCCACATTTCTTCCTTACTAAAAAGGAGCCTCTGAAAGACAGTGCTAGCTGGAGACTCGATTGCTTTTCGAAAGGTACCCATTTCCTGGGTGATCACCACTACCCAAAGATGTGGGGTATAGGAACACCCATAAAAGGAAGAGGGGGAAAAAGGAGGGTTCAGAGGAAAGAAAACCAGGTGATAGCTGTATTTATCCCTCTAAAATTCAAGTGCCAAAATTTTAAATTGGTATAGGGGGTTTGTCCCCAAATCTAATAACCATTAGATACACCAAAGTTAAAAAAAAATAGATCTCAAATATTTTTAGGCCAGATGTTCAAAAGTCTTCACTTTTCTAAGTAAGTGACCTTTTCCAAATATTCATATCTAAACTTGGATTTCTGATCAGATTTCAGTTTTTGAGAAGATAATAGTATTTCCCAGTTCCAAAGGGCATAGCAAAAAACCATCTTAGGGAGAAACCATTTCTTGATTTAATTAGGCATCAACACTATCGGACTTAAAAGCCCATCTGACAAAGAGCTTCATTTTACTCCCAAGAAAATGAGTGAAGGGAGCTCCAAATGTCCCACTGGAGATGTGGGGGAGGCCCAAGCCTTCTGCCTCCCACTCCAAGACCCTGCCCTGTGCGAGGCTTATCTACCCTTCATTTCATTTCCAGCAGAATGAACACTAGGGAAAGTAAGCTACCAGGCAGTGACCAAACCCTGTGAAAAGTTGCACTCACGCATGTGTGTGTGTGTGTGTGTGTGTGTGTGTGTGTGTGTGTGTCTGTCTGTCTGTCTGTCTTCAAAGGAAAAAAAAACAACAACTCATCCATGCTTTTTTGCCTCTTCTGCACTGGGGACCTCCTCTAGCTTTTGACAAATGAGTTGGGCCCTGCTGGGCTCCCTAGGAGCTGTGAGAAACACTGAGTAAAAGTGGAAAGGTAAGGTCCCTTCCTCCTTCCATGGGCTGATGCCTCTGGACATTGGAAAATCAGGTTCTTCGGAAAGGTAAATCCCTATCTCAGGCTCACTTAAGAGTGGACTTCCTCCCACACCTTTGCAAGTTCATTTTTTTACACCTTGTAAATTCACAAAAGCCTTTCCCTTTTTTCAAACAGCCCAACCTGAAGCACAGCCTCCTGGTACAGAGGGGAATCCAAGGGGAATGAGGCCGCAGGGGATAGGAGCCCTTCTCCCAGTTCCCCTAAGGGAGGCCTGAGGATCTGCGGCTGTGACCAGTCTTTGCCGTCTCCTTACATAACCTTACAAAGACCAGCTTGCTGCCCTCCCCACCAGCCTGCAGGGCTGCCCGTTTTCCTGTCTGAAGCCAATGTCTGCTTCTGTTCCCTTTTGTGTGTCCTTTTCGGCAGACTCTGCCCGGGCTTTGTCTGCCCCGCTCCTGGAGGAGAGGCTGGAAGAATGGGATGCCTGGGTTGAGGCCATTTCTTCCAACTGAGCACCCGGGGACCAGCCAATAAGCCACAGAATTTAAGGACAATGGGACAGGCGCCAGTCCTAGGGTGGGCATCTATACCAGCAGGACAAGGGCTGCTGGGAACAAGGGAGCTGGACCCCAGGTGGGGTAAGCACTGCCTGCCAACAGGCGGTCAAGCCAGGCCAGAGGAAGCCCACCTCTACCCTGACCATCTCAGCAAGCCTAGGGGCTCACTGTGAATGGAAGGTTGGCAAAGGCCTGGAGCACTCCGGCTCAGGGGGTCGTGGGGTCGGGAACAGGGCTCTTGCCGCTCTCTGCATGACCCACCGCCCACCCCCAAGGGCAGGCCAGGCTTACCCTCCAGGGGAAGTACTGATCTTCCAGGCGGCCGATTCCCAGACAACCTCTGATGTTCTTGCCCCACACAAACAGCTCTCCTTTGTCTGCAAAGAAATGACAGCAATGGCTTGGGGCGGACCCAAGAGCTGGCCTTAGAGCACAGGCCTGGGGACAGAAGGCTTTCCAAAACCAAGCGCAATCCAAGCGCCTGGAGGCTAAAGAGCCCTGGGACAGAGGAATCTTAAATACTGGTTTTTACAGGGTGCCATTGTTTTCTCCCACAACGGTCTCCTTTAGTGGAACAGCCTCAGAGAATGCTGCTTCACACGAAAAGAAACAACAAAAACAAAAACCTTCTTCAAGACCAGGGTTTACGCTGAGGGCCCGAAGAAGAGGCCAGCCAAGGAACTGACAGCATGGGTGGCATCGGGAGAGCCTGCTCCCTGGCCTGAGACACGCTGGGCTGCAGAAATCCCCAGCAGCCCCAGCTTTCACTCCCCAAATCAAGTCCAAAACCACTCGCCTCTCTTGGCCTGGCTTCCTCGATGGGGAGACCAGGCTTCACTACTGCTGCCCGTTGTTTCTGGAGCTCTGAGGACTCCCCTCTGCTGAAGGCTGGTGTAGCACTTTAACCCCAGATTTCAGCCCTTCCTAATCAAGGCCGCCTTGGTAAGCGCCTAGAGGACAGGGGCCTCAGCTTGACCAGCTCGTCCACCAGCCAGGCTTTGAGCCAAGGACATCAGTGACAAGGAGGAGGCCGATCACGATGCCTGTGCTTGCATCTCACCAGCCTTCTTGCCCCTTCTGACTTGGCCTCACGTGGCCTCAGAGCAGTCTTACAACTCAGCCTGGCACACTCAGAGACAGTGACTCACAGAGGCTGCCAGCCCCAGGATGAGGGCCGTGAGAAAGAAAGGGGCTTGACCTCGGCCCAGCCTTCTGCAGTGCCTGGATGCTGCCTCTCAGGCCTCTGGGATCCCAGCTCTCGGAGACCTGCTACACTTGACAGGAGAGGACACTGAAGCCAGGGAAGGGACTTGCCTAGAGTTAGTAAATGTCTGAGTCAGGATTCGAACCCACATCTTCCTAACTCCAATGGCAGTGCTTCCCACATTCTACACAAACACAGAGGAGAAGCTGGGACACCCGAGGATGGATGTTGTTAACCACACAGAGAAGGCTTTTTGCTGTGTGGTGTGTCGTCATTCTAGGCCAGAAGAGGGCTGCTCCAAAATAGGATTTCACTAACCAAGGGCCCCAAATGACGATACTCAACCAGCAGCAATGGGAGGGGTGGCAGACAGAGGCGTGGGGGGGCCGCACCTCTCTGGGCCTCGGTTTCCTCATCTGTAAAGTGAAGGGGCTAATTATCCTAGCTGACCTCTAAGGCCCCTGCCAGTCCTGAATCCTAAGATGTCCTGGATCCGAGTGATTTTTTTCTCATATCTCACACAAATGAAGGTAAAGCCTTGAATTTCCAGCCTTTGCTTTTGTCATCTTCCGGCCCGATATTTCTACGTGAATGTGAACGTCTCCCTTGCCAAGCCCAAGGGCTCCTCCTTCTTTGGCAGTGTCAGGCTTTGATGAAGCAGTTCTCTCTTGCCCCTATGGGGTTGACCTTCGGTGAAGCTGTGTGTGTGGCGGGGAGGCCTTCCCCAGGTCACTGGACAGGGGACCCCTCCCCACACCGGGATACCCTTGGGGACACACAAAGCCATTTTTACATGAGATTCACAAAAAAAAAACTTTCAGAGAAAACATGCTGTGACCCAAAGCTAAATGGCGATGACTGCTGGGTGTGCCCCTCGATCAGGCGGGCCACAGCCTCCCACCTACCGAGGGGCCAGCTATCTGAGAAGTGGCGTCCCTGCTTAGGGGCAGCTGGCCCATTTTGCTTTGCTCCATCGCTTACTGGTGAGTGCGGCAAACTGGCTGAGTCCACAGCGAATGTGGGACACCCGGACGTCTGGGCTGAAATCCGACAGGCCAAAGAGGGTGGGCGGGATCATTTCTGGGAGCGCGGTTTCCATGAGGTTTGGCCCTTTCCCAAGAATCCCATATCCCCAGACAAAAACATTTCCTTCGTCTACAACACAACAAAAATGACAGGCAGTTAAGTCCACTCGGCCTTCCCTCCCTCCCTCAATTCAGAAAACACAGACAGCTTCAGGATGGATGGGTCACTGGCACGGCGAGGGTACGGGGGCTGCTGCCCACGTGATGCTGCCCGCACTGCTGCGGATCCCTGCCTGCTTGCGGAGCCAGCCAAGAAGCGGGCTCGGGAGAGTCACCCAGCCAGGCCATCGGGCTTCAGGGAACGGCAGGCGGGCTTTGGAAAGGAGGTCACTGGCTGCACGCTGCTCGGACGAGGCCAGACACGTCAACGGCCCTGCTCTTAAAGATGCTTAGTCTGCTTCTAACGAAGCTGGTTCTCCTCAAAGCCCTAGGTCCACAGCGCTTGATCCCGAGGGCCCGACCTCCCAGAACCCCCACCCAATGGGTTTCCTGGCTCACTGACTCTGAGCAGGGAAACAGAGGCAGAAGCCATGGCCTGCTTTGGCAGGGAGTGGTCCCTGCTTCCTTCCAGAGGGATCATTAGAGAATCAGCTTGTCCTGCTACTACCTAGGAATCACTGCTGAGGACCCTTTGACAGTCCTACTGAGAAAGAACGGAGCGGTAGGTGCCTGGTGTGGACAGTGCCCAGGCCACCCCGAGCCAGCCGCCCTTCTTCTGACCAGGGGCTCTTACCATTTAAGACTGCGCTGCCAGTACCACCACAGGCCGCCTGCCTGACCTTCCCAATCCCAGAGAAGGGCAAGTGTGTGGGGACGTTCACCTGTGTACAAGAAACAGCCAGGGAAGCGGGCTGAAGAAATCTGGGGAGCCTTCTGGCTTGGGTTGTGGGTAACTCTGGGCTCTTCAGGAGAAATACTCCATCGGTCTCTGGGCTGGGGCAGCTTAAGTGGCTGAGTAGGAGGGTTTTCTTCTCCCTTTTCCCTGATCATATAAAGTACAGGGGGCTGAGCCCACTGGAGCTTCCTCAAAAGTGAGATACCTTCCTGACTGCCAAGCCAGGGCTGCCCCAGGCCAGAATGGGAAATGATGGTCCCCCAGGGGCCAGAGGAATTTGCCTCAAAGCAGGCTGAGTTTATTTTTTCTTTTATGGTTTTGTGGGGTTTTTTGGTGAGGCGATTAGGGGTTAAGTGACTTGCCCAGGATCACACAGCTAGTAAGTGTTATATGTCTGAGGCCAGATTTGAATTCAGGTCCTCCTGACTCCAGGGCCAGTGCTCGATCCACTGTACCACATAACTGCCCCTCTGAGTTTATTTTTTTAAGGGGATAGCAAGCACCATGAAGCCCCAGACCCCGCCCCTCCCGTGACGCCCACCCCCAGTACCTGGGTGGCCTCGGTGACGGACGCCAGCTGCAGGTACTCCGAGTTGCCCCAGCCAAAGAGGTCTCCCTCAGCAGACACGGCTAGACAGAAGTCTCCGTAGGTGGCGACCTGTACTACCTTCACTCCGACGATGCCGCCACCAACCTTGGTGGGCTTGCTGGTGATGTCATAGTGACCCAGACCTGCCGCAGGGCACAGCGGGGAATCAGAAAATGTTTGCATCCCTCAGCGGGCCCAAGGACATTTCTGAGGAAGGGAGGTCACTGTGAGGGGAGCGTCTGAAGAGCCTGTTCTGTGAGCCGGACGCTGACGCCACGTGCTCCAAGGCACCCAAACTCTCTCCTTCATTAAATTCACCACGACAAACCCTGACAAGTAAGCGGGGGCCAGCACAGGCTGGACGACATCTCATCAAAGGGGGCCTGGCCAACGCAGCTGTTCCCTTGCGTCCCCTGTTCACTGCGTGTCTTCTGAAGACATAAAAATCCTCTCTCTCTTTAGGTCTCACGGGCCTCTTGGGAAAAAAACCAACTCTAGCTTGATTCGCTGGACCTGCCGCTATTGGTGGGTGTCTCCGTCCCAGTACTAGAGGCTGGGGAGCAGGCTAACTCGAGTTCCAACCAGGGTCCTCGGGCCAGCTCCGTGACCAAAGCCAGGGCTCCGGCGGAATAGTGATGATGAAGCACTTCTTAGGAGAGGTAAGGACCATGAACAGGTAACTCCCTAACACACGGACCCCTCGCCATCCCACCGCTCAGGGGACAGACTGTTCCACCTCCCCAGCAGAGGAGACGACACACACTACCTGTCTGCCCGTCCGCGCCCCATCCACACGAGTAGACCTCGCCTTTATCCGTTAGGAACAGGCTGTGGTCTTGGCCACAGACAACCTGCGAGTAGGGGTAGAAACAGAGGATCAATGCGCCGTGAGGGGCTGAGGACACCCAGTGACCCCCGAACGGCACAAGCCACCTGGTCATGGGATCTCAGAGCTGGAAAGTCCCCTGCAGGGCCCCCGGGCCCACCCCTGGCAGGGCAAGAATGCCCGGCACCGCATGTCCAGCAAGCGGTGAAAGCTCAGCTCAATCCAACCTGATCCAACAGGCACTTACCCGTGTGGAAGGAGCTGGGCTAGGTCACAGGGGTACGGAGGCAAGAAGAAAACCCTCCGTCCATCAAAGAGCTTACATTCAACTGGGAAACAACTTATACGGGGCAAGTCAAGCCACACCACAGACAAAGTAATTTTGGAGAGGGGGGTGGGAACACTAAACGTTGGGGGAATCAGGAAAGGCCTCGGGCAAGGAGTCCCAAGAGGTAAAGAGGAGGAAGGACATTACAGGCAAAGGCAGGGAGGCCGCAGACAGCACACTGTGCATTAGGAACAGGAAGCGGGCCAGTCTGGCCGGAACACGGAATACAGATGGAGAACAAAGTGAAATGAGTCTGGAAAGGCAGGTGGGAATCAGATTGTGAGGTCCTGGAGACCCCACACTGGATTCTGTCTATGCAGGGGCCATGGGGAGCCTCCGAAGCATCCCGGTCTGGCAGCTGGCAGATGGAGAGGTGGATGGGGAAAGATTTGTCGGCAGGCTCCTCGTCATTCCTGGCTTGGCAGCCAGGGTGGGAGAGCCAGACACTCTGGACTCCTCCTGGACACTTACAGGTCCTCCCCTCCCTCCCTCACCTGTGGCCTCTCCTCCTCGAGGCCCACACAATCCACATCTCATCATTCTTCTTCCTTCCTCAATGAATCCGTACCTGGCTCAGAATGTTTCCCTCCTTCCTAACTCCTGCCCTCATACTAGGGGACACCCTCCTGAACACAGGGTTTCGAGGCCCCAACAAGCCCCTCTGGGGCCTGGCAGGACCACTGGGCTCCTCTTCCAAATGACAGCCTCCCAAATCCTCCTCAACAGTCCTCGTGGCTACATGAAGCCTCTCCTTGCCAAGGCTCATTACTGTGACCAATCCCAGATGGGACAGTCCCCCATCCCCTCCTTCCTGCTCACTGTGGGTGTCAAGGAGGCCAGGACCCCCATCAAATGAGGTCTGTCTAAACAAAGGATTCCAGAGCAATGCTGTGGGGCCCAGTCCCTCACACTCCAGCTTCCCCTCCCTCAAAGCCCAATGTGGAAATGCACAGAAGGGACCGAGGAGCACACAGTCCTACCTGCACCACGCGTCCATCGAAGTCCTGCATTCTGTGCACTTTGTGACTCTCGCTGCAGGCCAGAGCAAAGTAGAGAGATGCTGGAGTGAGCGGCCACCCCACACAGGCACCTCCCTGCCCTCCCCTGTACCCGCCACCCTCCCTAAGCTGGTTCAGATCCATCTCCACAGAAACAGCCTGACCCCCACTGGACTGGGACTTCATCAGGCTAGGGAGTGCCCAGAGAAGGGTCCATCCACAAATGCAGAGCAGCACCTGCTCTCAGAGAGCCGCCTGGGCCCGGACAGGTCAAGTCCCTCGCTCGGGATCACACAGGGTGTTTCAGAGGCGGGACAAGTGGTTGGGTTTTTGCTGTCAACCCCGATGATGCCTTCTGCCGGGCACCTGGCTCTGACCCCTGCTTGCCTCTGAGTGGCTGCTGTTTTCAAAGGAGGGACGAGCTCTATTCCAGTGTGCACACCGGGGAACCAGACAAGGAAGAATCATTCACTTCTCAAGAAACCCTTAAAATTGCCAACAAAAACTTTCTAGACCATAGAGTAACTCCACTAATCTACCCTTTAATCCGGTATGACGGAAAGGTCAAGCACACTGAATCTTAGGGTCACTTTTATTTGCTCCTCAAACGCAGGGCCTGGGTCTGCTTCATCCCTGTGCCTCTAGTGCCCCGACCACATAGCGGGACTCAGGACGTGCCGGCCAGCCGTGGCACCGGCGGTACGGTGCCCCGACCACGTAGCGGGGCTCAGGACGTGCCGGCCAGCCGCGGCACCGGCAGCATGGTGCCCTGACCTCAGGGCAGGGGTCCCCAAGGACTCACCTGTAAACCTCGTCGGTGACCACGGCTCTTCCACACTGCCCATAGGAATTGTTGCCCATGCTGAGGACTAGAAAACCACCGTCCAATCAGTCGAAACACTAGGTTCGTACAGCGCCCGGTTCAGAGCAGGTGCTACATAAACGTTCTCTCTTATTTTTGGCTCTAGCTCTTAGCTCCTGGAGCCCGGGGGAAGGGCTCCCTACACGGGGGGTGAGGAGGGAGGGGAATAAGCACTTATACAGCCCCTACTATGTGCCAGGCCCCATGCTAAGGCCTTTTCATAAACATTATCTCATTTGATCCTCACAACAACATGTGAGGTAGGTGCTATTATTCCCCCCATTTTATAGATGAGGAAACTGAGGCCAACAGGGTGAAGTGACTTGTCCAGGGTCACACTGCTAGTAAGTGTCTGAAGCCAAATTAGAACTCAGGTCTCCCTGACTCTAGGCCTGCACTCTGGGCACTGTGGCGCCACCTAGCTGCCTCTGATGTCCACAGAGGACATTTGGGCCGGATTTGACAGGTAGCCAGAAGTGATCCTCAGCCTGGGGGGAAAGACTGCACCTATCAAAGGCTGGACAAAGCCCAGGTTCCAGGTTCAAGAGAAGCCCACTTGAGAAAAGCATTTGGAAGTAGGACTCCTTCTACAGACACAAGCCGTGCCTGGGGATCAGACCTGGACCCCTCGGGCTGTGGGACTGGTCAGTCAACAGCCTGTCTCAGAAGCCTCACAGACAAGAGCCCAGGCCACCCTTTCCTTGTCTACACAAGGCAGAAGCCAAGAAAATCCCGGGAGCCTCAGCATCTGCTCACTGAGCCATCCTTCCCACTGCACGCACTCGATTTAACACGGCCAAAGGCACCACTCTGGGCAGGACGGCGGGTCCTGAGGCTCCTCGGTGCCCGGCACGCAGCCACAGAAAGTGTTTCCTGGGCCCGGCTCGGCCCCAAACAAGCTCGCTTCCAAACAAGCTCACCTCCTTCACTGTCCGTCAGGATCAGGGAGTGGGCTCTTCCACAGGCCACCTGCAGAACCCGGGTCTCCTGCGGTCTGTCCAGAGGCAACGGCACCGGCGATGGCTCCAAGACATACTCATATCCCCTGCCTGCAACACCCAGCCAGCAAAGGCTTGTGACTGCGCCTGAGCCAGGCAACAACTAAAAATCTCATTCCCTCAAGACTTGAAGAACACATGCTCTCACTACCCCCCACCCCCACCCACCTCTTCTCACCCCCCCCCAACATCTGGAACAAACAACCAAAGCTGCCCTATCACTGCGACACCCACTCACCTCTCCTACACTGAGATCGACGTTCATGCTGGAAGGAGCTCAGATACCAACTTGGCCAATCCCCTTATTTTATGGAGGAGGAAACCGAGGCCCAGGGAAGAGACAGGGTGCTGACCACTGTCGAGCGCTCTCTGCCGTCCGACAAAGCAGGGACCCGATTGGGCCGCTGCTGCCCTCTCCTGTCTGACTTTAAAAAATGATCCCCTTCCGCAGCTGTTTCCTGACACGACAGCACTGAATGTTGGCACACAGACTGATCCCTCCCAGCCTCATAAAACTAAAATGCCTTTCTGCTTACCACTTGGACAGAAGCCAGGGCAGCCCTATGATGACTTAAGTGAATAAACAACATGGTTCCTCAGCCAAAAGGATCCCAAAGACCGCCCGGATCACTGGCATGCGACCAGAAGACCTGGCTTTGAATCCCACCCTGGCCACAGCCCACCTGGCTGGGGGACCCAGGACAAGTCAGTTAATCTTCTCTGGGCCTCAGTTTACTCATCTGTGAAATGAGAGGGTTGGATTCAATAGCCTGAGGTCCCTTCCGGCTCCAGGCCTGTAATCCTTGACAAGATCAAAGAAAAGCAACAATCCCCTCAAGACAGCCCTGAGAGATCTGAAGGGCCAGTACCTCGGGAACAGCCACCACCCATACAGAGCTTTTCATACAGTTATATCTCGTGGGAGCCTCACGATCAAACCTCTGAGAAAGGTGCTACAAGCATAGTCCCATTTTACAGACAAGCAACAGTGTCAGACTTGTCTACGGTAGGATTTGAACTCAGATCTCTCCTGACTCGAAGTCCAGGAAAACATTTAAGTGCCTACTATGTGCCAGGCACTGAGCTAAGTGCTTGGGATACAAAAAGACAAAAGCCAGTCCCTGTTCTCAAGGATCTCCCAGGCTAACGGCAGAGAGGGCACGCAAACGCCGATGTCCAGACAAGCCCCAGGCAGGAGACCCCGGAGCGAACCAGCACAGGGAAGGCCCTGGGCGGAGGTGGGACGTTAGCTGGTCCTGAGGGAAGCCAGGTGGGGGAATGAGGAGGGAGAGGACTCCAGGTCTGAACGGCCTGGGAAAACACCCGAGTCAGGAGGCAGGGTTCCATGTTTTCTGCAGCCCTCCAGCTGACACGCAGCCAGGATTCTAACCCGGGGCTCCTCACTCCAAGGCCACTGCTCTTCCCCCACGGCCATGACAGGGTCCACAATGATTAAGCGCAGGGGCAGGGCTGAGCCTTTCGCCTGTCAGCACTAAGGAGCTGGGCTGCAGCCACTATAGACATGATGTGTAAATGGCACTAGGAGGCGGGTGGAATTCTTCTCTTTAGGCCGTGGGGCTCCCACCCTCACCGAAGCCCGCCCTTCTCACCCACACAGACCATTTTCTGTTTGTCCCAGGAACAAAGCAGAACCCAGCGGGCAAGAGCGCAGCGCAGAGACACTTACTCTTACCTCTTTGGCTCCTGTGAAACCCGAGCTGAGAATCCTTGTTAAGCCCCATGCCCCAGACCTTGGTGATGTCCCGGGTCTGGGACGACAGCAGCGTGAATCCATAGCCACAGGCGGCGGATGAAATCTGAAAGGCAACCCCCTCACAGTAAGTGACTGACCAGCATTTTGTTCACTGAGTCACAGAGGTGTATACAGCTGCTTTAGTGGAACAAATGAGGTTAGATGTTGAACAAATTCAAGATCCTATATATAATTATATATTATATTATTGGTTCACGAGGTCACAGACTGAGGCAGACGTTCACAGACGCTCTCACCCACTCCAGGCACAAAGATTCATTCATTCACTTGCTATTGGGTGGCACTACATATGAACTGTTCCTGCACAAATGGCTTCCTTTGGGGTCTCCTCCTGGCTTCTAGGTGGCCAAGGGGTGGGCTCTGACAGGTCCTGAGGAGCCCAGATGGGCTAGAAAGGCCTTGAATGATGGATGGTGTGTCTGCTGACCAAGGACCACAGGGCTGAGCTCAGGGAGGCCCGCCACCAGACTGGCCACTGATCGATGGATGAGCTTGGAGGCTGTTGATGGAAAGAGTGCGTACCCAAGGAAATCCCAGGCTCTGAAGTACTGACCCCTGACAAGGCATCATGCTGGGCTCTGCAGGAATACAACAACCCCTGCCCTTGTGGAGTTTACAATCGGACACACCCAAATATGCCCTGCTGCACAAGAGCAGAAGGAAATGTGCTCTGAGAAAGTTAAGAGGTAGAAGATGCCACATAAGCACAGGTCTGATTCCACCAACCAGACAAGCATTTACTCAGCGCCCGTCTCCAGGGCAACACTGAGCCCCAAGCAGCCGACCAACGAGGCCTGGAAGGGGACCCAGCCTCAGCTCACTCTCATGAAGGAGCAGGAGTGCAATGAACGCATGGCTGGGGGGTGTCTGGAAAAGGCAGCCTTGGCGCAGAGAGGCCGAGGGAACTGGAAGGCTGGAGAAGAGAGGAGAGGACAAAGGTCAGCAGCTACAGCCACGGCAGGCGGCATGCTCGGACCCTGTAGGGCAGCAGCCGCCAGAACCAATCTGCAGCCTGGCCCAGCACACACCTCAGAGCTGCCTCTTCTGTGAAGTACACGGCTATTACCCCTGTTTTACAGATAAAGAAACTGAGGACCTGATCTTGGAAGTGGAACCCCACACAGCTACTGCACCTTCTTAAGTCCCTCATTCTCTCCCTGATACCTCTGAAGCAGGAGCTTAGGATGAACCGTGCTTTGGAATGCTTGCTCTGTCAGCGGTGAGACAGAAATAGAGACAGAGAAGGTGGGAAAACCAGCGCAAAAGTCCAGAACCTGAACAAAAGGAAAATAGAAAGGGGGCATCGGACACAAAGGCCGTCATGGAGATAGAACATAAAAGACTCAGCAGTTCTCCAGACATATACGTTATGGACAAGAGTCAAGGTTAAGATACAGAGCGAGGATGAACCAAAGCAGCCATCCTATTAAGAGATGAGGAAGTCTGGGAAGAGGCTCTAGTTTGGAGAAGAGAGACAAGGAATTCCATTTTGACATACTGAGTATAAGATATCTAGGGGCCATGTGGGAAATCTGGGTTTGGACCAATGGAGAGAGGCTGGGGTTACCATGACATGGGAAAACATCAGAGGAGACCACGCACATGGAGGTAAGAGCGAGAGGATCTGGGAGATGCCAAGAGAAAGAAATGCCTTCAACAAAGACAGAGAATCAAGGGAACCACGATGGTGGAAGACCGTGGGGACCAAGAAGGAGAAAGAGTTGAGAGAGAGACAACGGTTAACAGTACTGAATGGAGGAGAGGAGTCCAGAAGGAGGACTGATATTCGGCCAGTAAGTAGTCACTGGTGGCCTAAGGAACAACACCTTCAAGATCAAGGTAAGCGGGCGCCATCTTGCGAGATACAGATGGGTGAAAAGGAGGCAATGGAACTGACCCAATGAAACAAACCCCTCCCGTCCAAGGGTCTCAGCTTCCTCATCAGTAAAATGAGGCCGAGAACACCGGACCCCACAGTCTGCTAGAAAAGGACCCTGTCCACCACAAAACACAACATAAAGACGAGCTGGGGTCTGGGTTGGTTTGTTTTCCCTGAGAAGATCACTGGTGAAGACGACAGACCTGGGATGGCTGGAAGGGACTAATAGTCATGGGAAGGAGACCCAAGGATGTCTTTGGGCAGAAGGGAGAAGAGGAGAGGAAGAGATGAAGATGGGGGCAGCTAGGAGGCACAGTGGATAGAGTACCAGCCCTGGAGTCAGGAGGACCTGAGTTCAAATCCGGCCTCAGATACAACACTCACTAGCTGAGTGACTATGGGCAAGTCACTTAACCCCAACTGCCTCACCTAAAAAAAAAAAAAGAGATGAAGATGGAAGGGGGTCATTGATGGGACGAGTCTGAGGCTGAGCAGGGAGCTTGCAGCAACGACAAAGATGGAGTGAATAAATATGGGCCCTGGAATGTGTCTGCTTGCCCCTGCTGCAGCTGCTGCTTGTGTCTGACTCTTCATGACCCCGTTTGGGGTTTTCTTGGCAGAGATACTGGAGTGGCTGGTCATTTCCCACTCCAGCTCATTTTACAGATGAGGAAACTGAGGCAGACAGGGCTAAGTGACTTGGTCAGAGTCATACAGCTGGGAAGTGTCTGAGGCTGGATTTGCACGCTTTAACATGAGCCTTCCTGACACCAGAGCACCCATAAGCTCCTCCCTTAATTGGCCCTGCCTAACAGTCCCATCCCTCATTCGGCCCCGCCCCTCCCTGGTCATGCACATCAGCTCCGTCCCTCATTGGTCCGGCCTGCTCTTGTTCCCGCCCCTCGCTGGTCATGTACATCAGCTCCGCCCCTCATTGGTCCGGCCTGCTCTTGGCTCCGCCCCCGAAGGCTCCGCCCACCGGCTCGGCCCTCATTGGTCCCGGCCCTCCCTGGCCCTTCCCCTCGCCTCACCCGGGCATCCAGCTCCAGGCGGTAGGGCACTGGCTGGATGGCGCGGGGCTTGCGGCCGGCGGCGGGCCCGTCGGCGCTGGGCTTCACCAGGCTGGGCAGGCCCAGCGCGCCCGTGTACGAGAAGCCCCACGTGAAGATGCGGTCCGCGCGCCGCGCCCGCTCGCCGACGTACTGGAACACGGGCGCCTCGGCCTCGGCCTCGGCTGCCTCCCGTCGGCTCCGAGACTTCCCAGTCGCGGTCCAGCGCGTCCTTGGCAACGGGCCAGCGCGCCCTGGCAACAGCGGCGCCGTGCGCCGCGCCCACAAGCACACTCCTCTCCACGTCGCCCCCGCCATCAGCGTTCTCGGAAGCCTCCCGCCTGGGGCGCAGCCATCTTGGGAAGCCTTTGACCTATCCCCTGCAGCCCGCCCCTTCCGTATCCGGGGCGGAAAGCCCTCTCGGCCATGTTGAATATGGGCGGAAGCGGGAGTGGTGTCATTGTAGAGGGTTCCACGTGATAACCCTAGCTGCGGCCCCAGCCAATCAGCGCAAACCGGGGGGGGGGTTATTCCTCGCACACCTGCGCAGGGCGAAGAGAAACTCCGCCCCTCCCACTCTCCCAGGCGCATGCTTAGAGTACACAGTGCAGGACGGGGGGGGAGGGGGGAGGTTTTGGAATGGGAGTTCGAAACCCACCTCTGACCCTTTGAGACCGCGGTCGAATCCTCCTCTGTAAAAGGAGGAACAGACCCTTATGAAGTGAATGTGAACTGACTATAGCTATGGACACGACGCTGCCGTCCTTTACCTTCTCCCCACTTCGTTTTCTGCCTCCCTTTTATGAGACTGTTTTGCCCCATTAGAATGTAAGATCCTTGAGGCAGGGACCATCTGTATTTCCCACTTTTATTTGTAATTCCAGCACTTAGTACACTGTAGGCTCTTAATAAGTGCACCTTGACTTAATGAGGGAAATATATATAGGAAGGTATGAGCTGGAGGGGACAAAGATGAGTTTGAGATCCTAGTGGAACCTTGAAGATCTATCTAACTAGTAGAAATGGGGAACTAGAGTTCTAGGGAGGTGTTGAGGATAGGAGAGAGGATTCCACCTAAGGCCCTTTCCAGCTCCACATCTTGTACAGAAGAAAGAGCTCTTGGTTCCAATCCCCCCTTTGACACGTACTGCATTAATGGCTTTACCTCTCTGGACCTCACTTTCTCCCTCTGTAAAATGAGGGGGTTGGACTTCATGGCCTCCTTCCTGCTCTGGAGCCCTAGTCCTGAGCTTCATGGTCAAAGGACCTGGGCAGTGACCACTTCCTATCCACGCTGTGCCCCGACCCCACCCCCTCCCCATCCCAGCGGGCTTGGCATAGTGAGAACAAAGCTGGGAGTCAAAGGACTTGGGGTCTGCAACTTCATGGACATTCTTTATCCCTGAGTAGTGGGTAAGGGAGGATTTAAACAATCCGTTCAGCCGTTCGCCAATGGATAGCATCCTCTGTCGCCACAAAAAAAGAGCCGCTAGAAATGTTTTTGTACACGAGTCCCTTTCCTTTTCTTTGCTCTCTTCTGAGTCTAGACTTAGCAGTGCTATCACTGAGACCAGGGGTATGTACACACAGTGGTAATTTTCTGCACGTAGTTCCAAATTGCTTTCCAGAATGGCTGGACCAGTTCATAACTCCACCAACAATGCACAAGCATACCTGTTTTCCCACAGCCTCTCCACTGTTGATTGTTTCCTCTTTTGTCATCCTGGTCAGTCTGAGAGGTCTCAGGCAAAACCTCAAAGTTGTTCTACTTTGCGTTTCTCTAGTTATTAGTGATTTAAAGCTTGTTTTGTTTTTGTAATATTGTCAACAGCTTGGCTTTCTTCCTTTGAAAGCAGCCTGTTTATGTCCTTTGACTATCATCTCTAGGGGCATGGCTCCGCGGCCTCTGGCCAGCTTGGTCACACAGTGTTTGTGTCTGTCCCCATTGACGCGGGTTTCTTTCTTTTACACCCCAAGAATAAGTCAACTTTAATAAGTTGTTTTGTACTTAGATGAATCTTTCTCCAAGGAGCTCCCATTACAGACAGTTCCAAGTGATTCCTACAGTCCCCTTGAGAGGTAGGTAGGGAAGAGGGAGGGAGGTACTGCTACAGTTTCACGGAAGCGAGAATGACACATGAGATTGTTCCAACTTGCCCAAAGCCATCCCGTTAATTCACTGTCGAGCAGCTCTTTTCGTGGCAGCCAAAAATGGAAAACTAAAGGATTGAGCTCCGGTGGGGGAATGGCTAAAGGAATCGTGGTATATGGTTGTAATGCCATGAGAAAGAATGAAATGGGTGTGGATGAGAGCAACACTTGTTCCATCCACTTAGAAGGGTTCACATTTTCTATTTGGCTCTTGGCCATGGGGTGTCAGCAGTGAGACATCAAGAGCCAGGGGATGAGCATGGCCTTCTCTAGAAGGCACAGAATTACTAGGAGGTGAGATCAGCTTTAGAGGCTTAGGGTGATAAGGAGCAAGAATAAGAGATGCCCCTACCTCATCCCTTCTGTCTTGCCAAATCATCCTTCAAAGCTCAAGTCCCACCACCTCCAGAAAGGCTACCCTGACCACCCCAGTTGGAAATGATGCAGAAGCATGTACCGCTTGCGTCACGCATGGAACATTTAGGCACAGCCTAAATCCAAGTTGTTTCCATGTGGACTGGACTGAAAATTCTTTAAGGACAGAAATTATCTCTTTTGCTTCTATCTCCATTTCTAAGGCACAAAACCTGGCACATAGAAAGTGCTTAATAAATGTTCTATCCATCCATTTATATTTTTGTCTGCCTATCTTTCCACCAATCTGTCTTTCCATGATCTATCAATTTATCCACATGTGTTTCTATCTTTGTATCTATAACCTATTTTTCTGTTTATCTTTCTGTCCATCCATCTGCCCCTCTTTCTATCCTATCTAGATTTCTTTCCATTCATCTATCGCTTTATCTATCTGTATATATATATATATATATATATACACATATATATATTTCTGTCTTTGTATCTATTGATCTACTTACCTATCTTTCTATCTACCCATCAATCTATATTTCTATCTTTCTATTGACCTATCAGTCTAGCTTTCTATTTATCTACCTATTTCTGTCTATATACCTTTGCCTCTATCAGTCTATTTATCTTTCTATTGATCTATTCTGTTGATCAATTTACCTATTTATATATATATATATATATATATATATGTTTCTATCTATATACCTTTGCATCTATCAGTCTGTCTTTCTATTGATCTGTTCTGTTGACCAATTTACCTATCTATCCATCCATCCATCCATCCATCCATCTATCTATCTATCTATCTATCTATCTATCTATCTATCTATCTATCTATCTATCTATCTATCCATCCATCTATCCATCCATCTATCCATCCATCTATCCATCCATCTATCTATCTGTCTGTCCATCCATCCATCCATCCATCTATCCATCCATCTACCTATCCATCTATCTATCTACCTATCTGTCTACCTATCTACCTATCTACCTATCCATCCCCTGCAGAGGCTTACTTAGTTCATATATGTTGTTCGGAGGCCTTTCACACAAGAATGTGAGGATGGGGTGAGAAGTTCTACAAGCATGGGCAATCTGCTTCCGTCTGCTGCTAGTGGTCGCGGAAGGAGCTGAATGGTCGGCTGCCCAGGCTAAACTCGAAGGGGTTTCCTGTGTACCGATTGCTGTAGAGGGAAGCCAACCAGGGCATAGCCTGGGGCTCTGAACAAGTGGCCCAGTGGGGTCAGGAGGCTCTGACCACTTGGCCAGGAAAGATGGTGGCACTTGGCAGTCTATTCCTCACTCCTCGGGCTGGGCAGGAGGTCAGAGCAGGCCTCTCCTCTGAGGGTGTGGGTGTGGATCACCAGTTTTGGTGCCAGCCTGTTGCCCAGAAGACTAAAGAAATGGTAAGCGAGTGGGAAGAGGAGAAGAGAATAAGCATTTCCACAGCACCTGCTGTGTACAAGACGCATCACTAAGCACTCTCACAGATTTCTCCTTTGATCCTCACAGCAGCCCTGGGAGGTCGGTGCTATTATCCCCTTTTTACAGTTGAGGAAACAGCTGAGGGCAGACAGACATTAAGTGAGTTACCCACGGTCACATGCTTCATACATGACTGAGGCTGGATTTGAACTTTCTGACTCCAGGCCCAATGCTCCACCCACCGTCCCGCCTAACTGCCTCGAGAATACATCAGATTTCCCTCACCAGTGTGGCCAGCACGTTTCCTCCCCAGTGACACAAGGGAGTTAGAACAGATGACCCCTGACTCCGAGGACTTCCAGCTCTGACTTTTCTGTGCTTCTGATACGTGTGGGTAAGAAGGTAGAGAACACCACAATGTGGGGGCCCTGGTCCAGAAGCTCTCCCACCACATTGGAGGAGTGCGGGTGACACGAGACGAGCTTCTATTGGAATGCACAAGTGAAGGGGCTAACAAGGCAAACTCGTCATCTCTCTGAGACGGCGCAGGCAGAGCTGGACCTCGGGCTTCCCAGCCTGGGTTCACATCCTACCTCTGACCGGTCCTGGCTGGGTGAGCCCGGGCAAGTCCCCCTCTCAATGTTCAAGGCAACTCAGACTGTAAGATGCAGTGAGGGCCAACCTGCCTTGGTGGAGAGAGTTTCTCCGTCTGGAAGTTCCCAAGTGCAATAAAAGTCACAAGTCCAGGCTCCCACCCAAAACAAAAACATGGAAGCAGCTTGGGAGGGTGGAAAGAGCTGGAAACTCAGGGTCTGCAACAGCCATTCCTCCTGGCTGCCCTATTTATGGTGAGAGTATGAGGTTCTTCATCTCAGAATCATGTCTGACTCTCAGCTTTTCCCCCTTCATGCCTAATTAGTCAATTAGAGTTTTGTTTTGTTAATAATACTTCCTTTACAAGACTTGTATTAGAAGGTCCCTTTCTAGTCTGAAGCCAACCTTGCTCAGGGCTCCATCGCCTCTCATTCTTACAAGAGCTGCCTCACAGGTCTCCTTGGCTCCAGTCTGCCATATCCTACCTCTAGTCTTTGCCTATGAGCTTCCCACCAACAGGAATACCATCCCTTTTACCATACAACACCATTATTATCCAGCTCCATTCAAGACCTCCAGATGCACACAGGAGCGCATAGGCCACAAGTGAGTTGTTTGCGCCCCCCCCTTTATGGGGGTCATCTTACACCCATCCCTGCCATGTACTCCAGGGCCACTGGCCTCTGCCATTCCTTACACACAATGCTCCATCTCGCATCACCAGACCTTCCCGTTGGCTTCCCCCCATGCCTGGAACTCTCCCTCCTCACGTCTACCTCCTGGCTTCCCTCAAGTCTCAGCTAAAGGCTTATCCTCTGCAAGAAGCCTTTCCCAATCCTCTTTAACCAGAATGTCT